TGATTTTATACATGCTAAAATATATGTGCATATATTTGCACATGACTCATTGTGTTTATATACATGTTTATGTTTTAGTTCTAATATCCACCTATGAGAAAAAATGCCAACTCTCTGTCCTTCTGACATGTCTTACTTCACTCAAGCAGATGTTTTCTAGACCCTGTCATTTCTCTGCAAATGATATAATTTCATTTTTTTGATGGCTGAATAAAATTCATATATATGCAAATACATATATACATACAAATACACACATACATATGCATACACAATGTGCATATATGTATGTATGTATGTGTGTATATGCCGGCTGCCAGTGGCTAACACCTGTAATCTTAGTTAGTTAGGAGGTTGAGATCTGGAGGATTGATATTTAATGTACATATAGGTGAAAAAGTTTACTAGACTCCATCTTCAAAATAACTACCAATAAAACTGAGCTTAGAAACCAGGTGTTGGTGGCTCATGCCTGTAATCCTAGCTACTCAAGAGGCTGAGATCTGAGGATCACAGTTCAAAGCCAGCCTGGGAAGAAGCATCTGTGAGACTCTTATCTTCAATTAACCACCAGAAAACCAGAAGTGGCACTGTGGCTCAAGTGGTAGAGTGCTTGCTTTGAGCTGAAGAGCTGAGAGGCAGTTCCCATGCCCCAATCTCAAGCCCCATGGCTGACAAAACACACACACACACACACACACACACACACACACACACACACACACACACACACACACACACACACACACAGCCCCTGAGCTTAGAAGCATGGATAAAGTGGTAGAGTATTAGCCTCCTAGCAAACATGTAGCCCAGAGTTTAAACTTCCAGTACCACACTGAAAAATTTCCCAATCAAATGCATCCTTCTTTGTCATTTTTCCTTATCTTCCTTTTCAACCTTTACCCCAGACTTTTCAACAGACTTCAACAGACTTCACTTTCTATTTTGGTGGTGGTTGTTATGAGTTGGGTTCTTCATATATTCTGGATATTAACTCCTTATCAGATATGGTCTACAAATATTGTCTGCCATTCTGCAAGTCTGTTGATTGGTCTGTTGATACTCTTTCATTAGAAGTCTGTAAGTTTGTGGTAGTCCCATTTGTTTATTCTTTTCTCTACTTTGCCCTTGGTGTTGTAACCAAGAAATCATTGCCAAATCCAATTCTGTGAAAGTTTTCCTATGTATCCCTTTACCAGTTTCATAGTCTCAGGTCCATTTAGTTTGTATGGTGTGAGGTAAGGGTTCAACTTCATTCTTTCATGTAGATGTCTGGTTTTCACAACATAATTTAATCCCCCCCCCTTTATTCTGTTAATGCAGTATCTCACCTTGATTGATTTTTATGTGTTGAACCATCCTTGAATTCCAGGAGTAATCCTACTTGGTAATGATATAAAATCCTTTTGATATTTTAAAATTTGTCTTGCTAGAATTTGGTTGAGATTTTTTCATTAATATTTATCAGAGATATTGGGCTATGATTTTCTTTTCTTACAATGTCTTTTTTTTTTACTTTTCCCCATTTTGGTTTCTGGATAATTTGGGCCTCATAGAAGGCACTTAGAAGTGTTCCCTCATCTTCATTGTTTTTATGGGAGGGGTTTAGGAATGATGGACATAAATTCTTGGGTAGAATCCTCTAGTAAAGCCACCTGTTCACGGGCTTTATTTGTTAAACTCCACAATTATAATTGGTCCAGACTTTTACTTTTCTTAGTTCAGTCTTGATAAGCTATATGCTGTATGCTTTTTCTGAGTTGACCAGCTAGTTGGGATGTATTTGTCCATACATCTTCCAGGTCCTGTGGAGTTTTGCACTATTTCCAACATCACAGAGGTAGGTTATTGTGCAAATTACTTCCTATGCCCAATGTCCTTATTTCTCCTCATCTCCCTCAGGGAGAGTCAACCCCATTTTGAGACAAAGGATGTAAAACTAATTTAGAAGCATTTGGGGCTAGTCGAGCCCAGGGTTTTTAGCTGGTGCTTCAGAGAGGCAAGACCTAAGTAAAACAGACCATGGACCTTACAACGTATATGGCTTGTCTCTGAAGATACAAATAGCTTCTATGGAGAAAAGATGTTACAGTATTTATGTTTGGTAAATTCTGGCTTAACTAAAGTGTAACATTGTTCAGAGCTGCTATATGTTAATGTATATTGCAATTATTCTACATATAGGCTTGATGTTCAGTGTCCCCAAACTCTATTGCTTATGGAGACCCCTCCTGTCTCTCCTAGAACACTCCATGGAATCCTCATTCCATGGAATATGCTTTGGGAAATGCTGATAAAACTTTCCTTGAAAGACAATGGTGGTGAGATGTCTGTCCCATCTGTGCTGCCACCAGCATTTGACAAGACTTGCTGTGCACCCCTCACAGGAGACTGGCAGCAGAGCTCTTCTTATCTTTCTCATTGTGCAAGAAGGAGTGTTTTAATGACCTTCTCAAAGGAGAGTGAGGTGGGCCCAGGACCCAGGTGTATCCAGCTCCAAGCACCTTGTCTTTCCCAACATTGGTGGATCCTTGTCTGAATCCTTAAAAAGCCAAAATTGAGATTGTTGAAGTGGATCAGCAAGATCAAATTCCATAAATGGAGGAAGACAGGTTTTCCATTTGAATGTTAAGGTGTCTTTTGTTTTGTGTGATTTGGGTCATTTACACTATGAACCCCAATTTCTGTACCATGAGCACAAGGATCAACATCTGTTTAAGGAGATCCCATGAATATAAGGAGAGAAATTATGAAAAATTGGCATATAGTTGATGCTGATGACTTTGATAACACAACACCAAGAAAGTACTTTTTACCATTCTGGCCCATTGGTATTTCCAGTTGTCTTCTTTCACGGTCCTGTTACCAAAACTCCTAACCAGAGAACCCCTGGCCAGAGCACCTCTGACCACTCCAGCAGGAAAGGGCACTGTTGCATCTAGCTGCATGTGGGATTAGGTACATAATTAGGGTGTCAAGAGCAAAATGGAAACCAGGGGGCCTTCATCCAAAAGTTATTAAAAATTCTACCATAGCACAGCAAAGCACCAAACCAATGATAGAGCAAGTCTGAGCACCAGATCCTACTGCAGACCTGGCTCCAGCTAATGACAAAGTTTGGGGAAACTAGAGCCAAGGGGAGGAAGAAGAGGGGAAGACCTCTGGCCAGGAGTCCTCAACCTAGACAGAAAGCCTACATAGCTCTTTGGAGAGATCCTAAGGAAGACCCTACCTCTGAGATGAGACCATTGGATTGGAGAGAGAAATATAAAGAAACGGAGCCCTGAGATAGGACAAGAAGGTGTTGTGGGCCGGGAAGGGTCTGATGACATGGACTACTGAGCCTATGTGAACTTGAACTTAGCTACCCCCAAGTCAAGCTTGTGGTCCTCAGCTGGTGCATGGTGTGGGAGGTGTGCAGGAAGCGGTTATCCCAGAGGTCTGGCTTTGTGACTATGCTAATTGCACCTCCCTGGGCTGGTCACTGTGAGATTGGAGGTTGGCACATATCAGGGAGAGAGCTGGCTAGCAATAGAGGGAAAAAAGAACTGAAATAGAATCCCCCTGCTGTGTTTGGCTTTGCATATGCTGCAACCTGGGCAAAATCTATTTTGTCCTTAAGCCTAAGTTTTCCTTAAATTCATGTAAACAGTATTCTTTCAAGGCAATTGGCTGTCACACACTCATCTTTAATCTGAGGCCTTTCATTCTGCCATTTGCATGAGAATATACTATTTCCCAATTGCTGCTGCTTTCAATGTGGGAGGAAAATAAGATTTGATTGCTGTGGTCAAAGAAACACAGTCATTAGATTAGTTTTTTTTCACTTATATGTTTAATTCTAACTAGTTCTTATGAGAGAAATAGTCTTGGTTCATTGCTATTTGAGTGAAAGAAAGAAATGTTTTTAAACTATGGTGAAACTACTACGTTTTCCATAAGAAAATATAACTGTGTCTGGTGTGGTGGTTCATACCTGCAATCTCAGCTACCTAGGTTGGCATCAGGAAGATGAGGAGGTCAAGGGAAGTCCAGGCTAAAGGTTTGCAAGACCTCATCTCAACCAATGAAAGTTGGGCCTGGTGGTATGAGCTTGTTATCCAAGGATGTAGGAGGACTGTTATCTAGGGCAACCTGGGCATGAAAGCCAAAAGGACTGGGAGCACCACCCAAGTGGCAGATCATCAATCTAGCAAGGTCAAAACCCTGTACTGTTGACAGGAAGTGAGCCGCTCCATCACAAGGCTACCTGTCTTCTGTGATCTTCAGGAGTCTGTGGTCCCCTCAGACAGAGATGCGTTCTCATCATTTACTTTGATCTCTCTCCCTCACTTCTCTCCTCATTCTTCCTCTTTTCCTCTTTACCTTCCTTTCTTCCTTCTTTCCTTCTATTATCTCTCTCGCTCTGTGTGTGTGTTTGGCTATGCACTGGTTTCTAGTCCTGTGTCACTGGTGAGCTAGGTGCTGAGCAGTGCATCATTAGGCATGATACCTACAGACCAAGAGGGTGGCATTGCTTCAGTGAGGCTTGGGTTGTAGGAGCATCCTCAACAGCACACACTGTACATCTACGTTTCCCTGCACATTCATCTGCCAACTGCCTTACTTACTTCATCAGCCTGTGTGCAACTGGTTTAGAATAAATGATCAGAGACATAGTTCCCTTGGAGGTCTAAAAGAGGCATGGAAGCCATTGGATTTGGGGGAACTTTTCAGCATAAGGGTACAAAAAGAGGGCTGGGAAGGTGGCTCAGTGGTAGAGTGCTTGCCTCGCATGCATGAGGCCCTGGGTTTGATTCCTTAGTACCACATAACCAGAAAAAGCTGGAAGTGGCACTATACCTCAAGTGGAAAAGCACTAGCCTTGAGCTGAAGAGCTGAGGTACAGCACCCAGGCCCAGAGTTCAGGTCCCATGACTGACAAAAAGGGGGGGGGAAGAGTACATAAAGCAAAAAGAAAGCCTGATTATTTCCTCCCACTCTGTTTTCTTTTTTAGGTTCAAACTTGGTGCTCAGACAATTTCAAAATGAGGAAACATCGACATTTGCCCTTAGTGGCCATCTTTTGCCTCCTTTTCTCAGGCTTTTCCATGACTTATGCCCAACAGCAGCATGCAGGTAAGGCCTGGAAGTGTCCTGAATTTTGTATAGACGAATAGTGTTGGTTTCTACATCTCAGACATGATGAGCTTATAGAGAGCCCAGATATGTTGAGGGACAGCTCAGCTGCCTAGTACAGGTTTTTCCATGTGCTCCTTTTCCAGCTGAGACTTGAGTTTGATATCTTGAAAGGGACTTGTTTTTACAATAGGTGTGAGCTGAAAGTTTCCGTATGAGCAGGTTCCCCATCTGAAGAACCTCTCCTTTAGTCTCTGAACACATAAAATAGACAGGAGTCAATGCCTGGGAGTAGAAATGTTTTTCTCTGGAAAAAAAAATCACCTTTTCTGGACACAGAAAGACATGTTTCATCCAGAATCATTGAATGTTTGAAAAAAAATCTGGTTCCTTAATCTAATTTCAAAAATAGATTCCAATACGCCTCTTAAAAATTGGCTTTCAGAGTTTCAGGACAGTTTCATGCACTTCAGGTTGGGGGTGGCGATGCTGGGTCCCCCCCACCCTGCTTTTCCCGGATAGCTGGGTCTCTGCAGCCCCCCACCCCGACTTGAGTCTCTACCGATCCTCCCTGGATAGCTGGGTCTGTGCAGCTCCTACCTCTGCCCCAAGCCAGGTTGCTCTAGAGGGGACATTAGCAGCCCCCAGTGGAAGAGGAACGTAGGGTGGGTCCCTGTCAGTCTGAGGTAAGTCGAGTCCAGGCGCCAGCCTGTCACGGCCGCCGAGCGGCTCTTTCTGTAGCACCGAAGCCTGAAACATGGGGAGAGAGGCCCGGACTTATTCACGGATGGGTCCCATACGGTTCAGTAGCTATCACATCTATGGGCCAGCCATGATCAATATGCACCAACTAGCTCCAGATCCATTGTTCATGCTCAGAAATCCGAGACCACGGAGAGTTTTCTATACATTGACGTGGGGCTTCCTCGCTTAAAGGAGCTCCATTCATCCCGTTTATGTTCTTACAAATGACCTAAAACATTGGGTGCCCAGTCACATAAAACACTAGTAGTTTCCACCCCCCAAAGTGGAGAATGAGTCTTACGACAATACCTGTTTTCTTGTGATAAGATTCCTATGGTCTGCTCAGGTAGGTGTAGGGGACCCGCGGCCCTAGAGAACGCGCTTGAGTTCTGAGGCACCCAGGCGATGCTCTCCCGCTCTGGAGCATGCTGCTGGCCCCCGAGAGTGGTCACTCAGCATGGAACACGGGCTAGGTCTGGGTACCAGAGCTGTTGAGTCCCTGTGCCGAGCCTGCTCTTCAGGTAAGTCTGCCTCCTCGCTAGACTGCAAGTGAGGTGTGAATGATGTAGTTACAGTAGTGGCAACGGAACTTGCCTAGGAAGCTTTTGCACTGATAGGAAGTCATCCTATTTGCACAGTAGAAAAATCTAAACCAATGTCTTCTTTTAAAGATGTCAAAAATGGTGCCGCTGCCGATATAATATTTCTAGTGGATTCCTCTGGGAGCATTGGAAAGGAACGTTTCCAACTTGTTCGAGAGTTTCTCTATGATGTTATAGAATCTTTAGCTGTGGGAGAAACTGATTTCCATTTTGCCCTGGTCCAGTTCAACGGAAACCCACACACTGAGTTCCTGTTAAATACGTATAATTCCACACAAGAAGTCCTGTCCCATATTTCCAACCTGTCTTACACTGGGGGAAGCAATCAGACTGGAAGAGGAGTAGAATACGTAATTCAAACCCACCTCACTGAGGCTGCTGGAAGCCGGGCCGGGGACGGAATCCCTCAGGTTCTCGTTGTGTTAACTGACGGACGCTCGGAGGACGACCTGGCTCTGTCCTCAGCACAGCTTCAGTCTGCTGACGTTAACGTGTTTGCAATTGGAGTTGAGGACGCAGATGAAGGAGCGTTAAAAGAAATAGCGAGCGAGCCGGTCAATATGCATGTGTTCAACCTAGAGAACCTGACCTCACTTCAGGACATAGTAGGAAGCTTAGTGTCCTGTGTGCGCTCTTCCGTGAGGCCGGGAAGGGCTGGGGACATGGACACCCTTAAAGACATCACAGGTAACAGCTGCTTCGCCAGGCTGCCTCCTGCTGCTGTTCTGTCCAGATGAGCTTGGCCAAGGGCTGGCCTCAGAGTTGGCAGCGGGGCGCTCAGGCAGGAGATGAATGTTCTCAGAATTAAAAACAAAGGTTTGACGATCACTCTCCTCCTCAGATACCGGCCTCACTTGGGCCCAGTGAGCATTTTTGAATTCAGTGAGCACCATTTTTACAGCATCATGAGAGAAGCACTAGCATTCACACCTCACTTGCAAGGGGAGCTCTCTCACCTGCCCTTGCTGCAGAGGGCCTGCCCCCTTCCAGAACAGTCTAGGACAGGGAGTGTGAGAGCCCAGGGGAAAGCCACGGCCACGTGTGTGTCTCGTGAAAAGCAGAGTGCTTCCCCTTCTGCTCCGTGGAACCTGTTTCAGAAAACTGAGAAAATCAAGAGTGGCTGGAGCCCTAGCTCTGGTTCAGTCCACGTCTGTTTGAAGAACCTGAGCCCAAATGGCTAGAGGGTGAGATGTAGGCTGGGGAGGAATGAGCCGGATGCCTGGGGCTTTGGCTCTGGTCTGGGTTTCTGTCCCCAGAGACTCTGAATTCCACCAGCCCTTATCAGGGCTGCCCTAGAATTGTCGGGAGCAAAGACCCTACATTAATATAGGCAGGCAATGTATTTAACCAGCCAAGCTCCCTCCAGTGCCCAGGGCCTAACAGACTGGTAGGAAGGGACTTGATAACCAAGACAGAACTGTGCTGGACCAAAGCAGTGTTGCTGAGTGCCCAGGGCCATGCCCTCATCAGCCAGGGAGGCGGAGGCTCACCCCTGTGTTAGAGCTCGAGGCTGGGCATTCATTTGACAGTGGAGAGGTGGGGGTTCCAGGTTGAATGGGAGAGAGCTAAGGAAGAAGAAGGGGAAACAGACCTGTGTTCCAAGATGAGGGAAGGGAAGAGAAAGGGGACTGTGTCCCTAAGACTCTGTAGGGTGGGAGGAAAGTTGAGAGGGACTAAGTGGAGATAGGTCATCTCAGGAAAGCAGATGGCACGTGAGGCCGGAGGGGTTGGAGCCGTTTGGCATTTGGCCTGGCGCCTGGGATGTGACAGGGCCACTCAAGGCTCAGGAAGGACAGCTGACTGGCCTTGACGGCCGGTTGTCTTCAGAGACTGCCGGCGGTTCTCTCCCTTGGCATGGACCCCTCCTCAGGCATCTCCGGTACTCTCGGACTCAAAGGACTCCAGGTTTGGAGCTCACACAGAATGACAGAGAGGAAAGAATTCCTACTGGAGAAGAAAGTGCAGAGTGGAAGCTGGGGATCCTGGTATGACATCCTCACTGGGTGGGGCTGGGTGGGCGGGGCTCAGAGCTCCAAGAGCCAGAGACAAGAGGCCGCGAGGAGGGGGGCCACCAGGCAGCACACCGTCTGTGAGGAGCGGTGACTGCCGGGTCCCACGGGGACTGGAGGGTTCCCACGTGTCTGCATGTGCACACAACGGTCCGATTGCCGCTGGGGCTGATGGGGCTTAAAGGCCAAGAGGCTGGGACCCATGGACAACAATCCCCTCAGGACGACCACAGCACCTTCAGCATGGGTGTAGATGGGGCTTGGAGTCACAGAAGTAACGTGGGAGGCTGGGGAACGCTTTAGTGTGCGAGGCACCATGAATTGGTGCCCAGCTCTTCAGTGAGGGAAGCGTGAATGGACAGGTCTGTGTGGCACAGAGGAAGCGATAAGAAGGAGGAAGATTCTGAGCCAGGCTTAGGAGGTGGGGACCACCGAGAGGGGTTCAGGGATGGGGGGGACACCGGGCCGCAGGCACGGTGCTGGACAGAAAGCCAGCCTCTTGTGACTCCGGCTGGTGGGCCGAGTGGGAAGAAGAGTGCGCTGAGGCTCTGGTGCATGAATCTTGAACTCTGAAAGGGTCGCGCGGGGTGACCCAAGGAAAGGCAGAGCTTTCTGGACTGTGATCACAACGGGCTGCTGTACTGCACACAGCACTAGACAGTTGTTTATAGCAGACGTTCAGCAAGCAGGGGTGGGGGAGAGGGGTGACGGATCCCATGCTCAGGCAGAAAGGAACCAGCTGTTACAGTCAGGCAAAGCTTAGCGGGGGTTTGGGGCCAAGCCAAGGCTTCCCTGAGGGACCCCTGGGATCTGAGCTTTGGTGGAGTGGGGGAGCCACCGCCCTCCTCAGCAGACAGCCGCTCCGTGGTAAGAGGAGGGACAGCATGAGCACCGGGAAGGGTCAGCGTGATGGAGGGGCCTCTTCCACGTGACAGCCCCTCCTCTGGCATTGTGCTGTCCTGCCAGAAAACAACACAGGGATCCCAGGGTCACCCCCACAAGGCATGGAACCACAGGAGGACATCTAGAATGGTCTTCGCTATGGGCCATGGTAGTCTCAGTCTCAATACCTCCCAGGACCATCATTTTTTCAGACTATAAGGCTAACAGCAAAGAAAGAGGGTAAAAAATAACAAGCAAAGAAATCAGTAGCGAAAGGAGCATTCAACAAATGGATGCATTGGGGAACTCATGAACAGGACTAGAGGAGTTTTCCTTCTGGAGCTGCTTTGTAAGTGAACCCAGGGAATGCTAAGCGAGTCTTCCACACATCATATTTCCACACAGATGATAAAAACCTTTGTTTTTATGCCAAGAACGCATCTCTGTCTTCTAATGTTCAGCCGCTCACAGCACCAGGTGGACTATTCATCATCTGTGTCATCTTTCCTCATTAACTGCACTCTCCAATTCTTCTGGTATCAGATCCTACTGCATGTCTCACAGAAAAAATAACATAAGGCAAAACGGAACGGACAACAGCAAAACAGCTCATGGCTGTCCAGAGCTTTGGCAGAAAGCTCTCAGGAGGCCTAGGCAGAACCCTTTCTTCTCTACCTCCTCATTTCTACCAGGGGACATTTCCCCAGCGAATGTTCTCAACCATCAGATGAGAGCATTTCACGCATACGCTGTGAATGACTGCCTCTGTTCTAAATGAACCCTGTTCAGGCAATTAGCCTTTGACTGTTGTGTTTTACACACTCCCTCGCTGCCCTTTCTAAGAGGACATTAGGAGACACAAGACCTCTATGAAAGGATTTCAGTATAAATGTTGTTTTTTCAACAAAGTATTAAGATTTGAGGAAAGAAAAGGAAATACACAGTGCTGTGCTTTGCATAGGAGATGAGGATGTGATTTTTCTTTTTCTTCTTTTGTAACAAAGGGGAACATCCAATGAGTGAGGAAGGTCTTGTGCTCACACCAGATGCTCAGGGAAGCAGGGCTTCTGGTACAGCCTAAGTAGACATGATTTTTTTTCCCCTTGTAAGCATTGCCATAGTAGAAGCTGCAGAGGATTTGCTGAGTGAGCTACAGAAGCAGTTAACCAGGCATCTTCAAAGTGTGACAGTTGGAGAGAGACACAGTTTATCTTGGAGTTAGTGTTGGGCATTGGCATATCTTGCTGCAGATAAGAACTCGGGGCTCCCGGGCCTACGCCAGGCTTCGGCTCTCCTGGATAGCAAAGCATGCTCTATGTGTGCCATTATTGTGTGTGTACGAAGACCATGCTGTTGTTGTTGTTTAATGCAGTGATGACAAATTATCCAACATTTTTATGACCTACAGTTGCAAAAGATGTTCAGCTTCTTGGGGAAGTGCTCACAGATTTCCCTCGGGGTTGGCTTGTCTTATTTGCATACGATAGATCGCAACTAACAAGTAAGGGAGTAATAAATGAAGAAGGAATCGTGTCTCATAATGATGCACACGTCATTTTTATCGATGCTATGGATCATGTCAACTCTTGTTTTAAATGTCTCCGTGTGCTAAGCAGGAGGGGGATCCCTTCCTGTCCTTGGGGGTCACTCTTGTCCCTTGGGGGTCAGTGGCTCAGAGCTGGAAATGATGAGGAACTTTTTGTGGTATGATTCACCCATACTCTGCCTCATGATATGAGGTGAAGTACCTGCTGTTGTATCTCAAACTCCATGGCTCTTCAGCTTCCAGAACCTTCCGGAATCTTACATTTTGGCTGAAGAGTGACATATATTTTGGAGTTCAAAGCAAGAGCACAGGCTTATTGGGTACTCTGTGTGAAAATGAAAAAACAAACAAAAAACAAACCAAACCCAACCCCAAATCAGTAAAACAAGATCGTAATTCCTGTAGCAAAATGATTATCCTCTTGTTACATCTAACAAGAAGGACTGTGATAGAAATCTTCCTAAGCAACTTTCTTACCCTGTGCCTAGAATTAATCTGCAGAGATGTCATCAGGGATTTCCCCTGTGTTTAGGGGAAAAAGAATCTTCCAAAGGCTGGTACTTCCTGCCTGAGCTTGTGTACAGGCAAGTTTGCATTGCTTTAGAGAAAAACTGCCAATTTTATGAGGCAGGATTTGTATGCTTTTTTACAGTGAGAGTAAACACAATTTTCTGGCACAGGTCAAATTTAATTTGTCTAATTTTCCCCTTTTATATTATCTTTAAGTAGTTGTACAGAGGAGTTGCCATTTAACAAAGCAGATTAAGAATGCAATGAATATTGATCAGTTTCATCGTTCTCAAAATTTAATTTTAAATATAAAACATTTACCATCATTAAAAAGTACAGAATGAATGGTTTCACAATATTACCATTATGCCCCAAATATAATTTTTCTAAACCTAAGAATATGAATATATATGCTTACATAAAAATTCATAAAGCATAACTCTCCTAGTTTAAATCAGTCTGGATTTAAAAAATTCTAATTGTGCCTTTGAAATGGTCAGTAGACTTACTAATTACTAATTTTTTCTCCCAATGCACCTGCGTAACCCCATTCTCAGCAACAGAATTCGGCAGGCATGTGAATGAGGTCTCTCTCAGACGGTTTTACATCCTTTGCCTGACTCCAGAGCTCATTCTGACTAAGGGATGATCACATTCTCTCAGGTCTACCAGATGACCCACTTAGAATGTCATAAAAATAAGGTTGGATAATTATGTCATGGCTGGTTTCACATCACTCTGTTTAACATCGTTCTGCATTACATGATTAGATACAGAGGCAATGGCAAAAAGAAATGAATGAAACATCTTTTCTGGTTCCAGGCTTGCATTCGAGTTTCACAGAGCCCAACGGCATGTGAGGAAGAAAATATCAAACCCAGAATCCATCACAGTATTTTTGTCAAAATAAAAATGTGATGTGTAGGTTGAGTCCGCAAAGTTGCATGTGCTCAAGTCCTTTTTTTCGATTTGATGAAACAGTGGTTGTAGGAGGAATGAAGTCCTTGCCTGGGAATATGGGTTGCTGAGCTCCGAACCTGGCACCCTGTTCTCCAAGCTGTGATTTGTATACAGAATCCTCATTGTTGCTCAAGGAGGCAGCAGAAAATGACCCCCAAATTAAATTTTTGTTCATCTATTCGTTTGTTTTCTCTGGCAGTGTGGTTGGTAATATATAAACCCATGCAGCTACACTTCTCTCCAAACTGAGTAGAACCTTCTAGACTATGTACCCAAGATTTCTCCCTTGGAAAAGAGAATGTGTTTTGAAATTCAACTATATAGATGGTGCCAATGAGATCTGGATATAAAACGTCCGTGTCCACACTGCGATGTAAGAAGTTGCCTCTTATCCATTCAGAATGCAGAACTCGACAAGAGTTTCACGTTCCTTAACCACCATGTGTTTCATTTGTCCCTACTTCGTGTTTCTTGTTGGTTTCCAAAGAAACATGTCAGAACACCGAACGATGCATGTGGTCACTTGTTCTAACGCTTTCACATGTTTTGCGTTTCTTTCTTTTAAAGCACAAGACTCTGCTGACCTTATTTTCCTTATTGATGGATCAAACAACACCGGAGGTGTCCATTTCGCTGTCATTCGCAACTTCCTTGTAAATCTCCTTGAGAGGCTCCCCCTCGGAACCCAGCAGATGCGAGTGGGGGTGGTGCAGTATAGTGACGAGCCCAGGACCATGTTCTCCTTGGGCAGCTTCTCTTCCAAGGCTCAGGCTCTGGAAGCAGTGAAGGCCTTGGAGTTTGCTGGGGGGGAGCTGGCCAATATTGGCCTGGCCCTTGACTTTGTGGTGGAGAACCACTTCACGCCGGCAGGGGGCAGCCGCGTGGAGGAAGGGGTGCCGCAGGTGCTGGTGCTCATCAGTGCCGGGCCGTCTAGCGATGAGATTCGGGATGCCGTGATAGCTCTGAAGCAGGCTAGCGTGTTCTCATTCTGCCTCGGAGCCCAGGCCGCCTCCAGGGCAGAGCTTCAACACATAGCTACCGATGACAACCTGGTGTTTACTGTCCCGGAATTCCGTAGCTTTGGGGACCTCCAGGAGCAATTACTGCCCTACATTGTTGGCGTGGCCCAAAGGCACATTGTCTTGCAACCGCCAACGATTGTCACTCAAGGTACGTATGTCCTTCTCGCCACCCCTGTGGGTGGGGGGTGTTGCCATGCATGGTGTTTTTCATAGAAGTGAGGGGGGCACCGGAGAGAAACTGTAAGTACCCACAGTCCAGTCCTTCCAGGACGAGCTGGCTTCTGGATGGGATGGATGTGATCGACAAGGTGCTTGGAAGAGCTAAAGATCAATGAGTGAGTGGAGAGCTCTGCTAGGTCATGAGGCACAGGGAAAGTGTGCCTCCAGGGTAACCCAGCAGATGTCTTGTTTGGAGTGATTGTGCTGTGTAGTTGTAATCCAGCCCTTCAAAAAACAGTCTTCAGGGGCTCATTGCCATTCCAAATAAGCTAAGCCAGGATGACGGTATTGCTGGTGTGTTCATAGAGAGTGTCTCCCCCAAGACGGAAGAAGATTACAATGCATCCTCTGTAGCTGTGACAATGGGAGAGAGACTCTTCTGAAGGCAAGGGACAGCGGCGCACTCATTGGGTTATATGTTTACAAAATATTCCATTCCTCTGCTTATCATGTTCAGAAGTAATTCTTCTGAGTGGTAAGATGGCAGTATACATCCCAATGGAAGTGCGTTCACCGTGCCGTCAACTAGAGTCATTAAGAAACATACAGCCAATCAAGTCATAGTGATAATGGCCATTTGACATACATGGGAGATGTGTGGACATCATAGTTCACAGCTCATCTGACGAGCTGAGATGTTGGGCCCTCTTCAGAATGAATCAGTGTTCTGACCTTGGTTAGACCAACTGCATGCCAGTCAGTCCATGAGGGCCACCATGGTGGGCACCATCCGGGGCCCCCTCAGTCCTCGAAGACCTCGATCCTCATTATCTTTCCAGTGTCCCAGCAGAGTTTGTGCCCAGTGAAAACTGGCAAATGAATGAGATTTATGGAAGACCGGTAGTTGGTGCAACCAGTGGTTTGAATTTTCTGGTATGGAGTAACACTCATTTTCTACCTTTGCAAGTAAAGGGCCTGTGTCTATACAATGGCTGTGGTACTAGTGGCTGTGGTAACGATCGTATTCATGGCTCATCCTATCCCAGGGATTCCAGGCTGGCCCCCCTTGAAAAAGGATTAGTAGTAATTTAAAAAGAAGCATTTTGCAGTGGACATGCCATTACATAAAACTGAGAGCGGAAGATTTTAAAGCGTTCATTAAAAACCTTATTGGATCACAAATGGAACTGGCCTCTACCGAATAGTCCTTTGTTAATTGGCAGTATAGTTACTGCATGCATGTAAAGGGACTCATTGCCTCACTAAGTGTTGTGGAGAATTGAAGCAGAATTAGCACAAACTTCCTCTAAATGATTTTCAAAGAGGGCTTTTTTTTTGTGATGACAGTCAAGTTGCAGCAGGTAGACAGTGAAGGACCACATCATCTCTGCTCATATTGGACACCAGAACCATGTATGTGAGAATTAGGACCGTGTATGTGAGAATTGCTTTCTGGAGAAGTCTCTTGGTCACGTTGAGTTCAGAAAGGTCAGTCTACTGAGGTTGAGTTTAACTCCCCTGGGCTTCTAGCCTTTCTTCACTTGATGGGGACACACACCTGACCCACAGGGAAGCTGGGAGAAAAGTCAAAGTTGGGTGTATTGCGTCGGCACGGCGGTGAAGGGCAGAGGAAGTCGTATACAGAGGCCAGCTGCTTGCCTTGCTAGGACCAGGCAGTTAAGGAAACAATCAGATGGAAATAGTTTCCCAAGGTCCTCTGGGGTCACATATTGTCAGAAACCAATGATCTCTCTAGGCTTGGTAAGCACAGATGATACAGCGTCACCGGCATGGGGAGATGGCTTCTTTTACCGTCTTCTGTTGAGCAGCTGTGTAATCCTGGGCAGGTCACACAAATTCTCTGGGCTCTGATTTCTTGAGCTTATGGCAAAGAATTTTCACTTGATGAAAGTATCTTTGTTTCAGGAGAAGATTCAGCTTCTTGATTAAAACAGGCGATTTCTCTGACCTACTTTCAGATTCCCCTAGATAACCAGAGTTTTAACTCCCTCTTTACAAAAATCATGCTTAATCCTAGCAATTAACTTGTAAGCATTCAGCAACTGTTCTTGTCTGTCTGGCTCATGCCAGATGCTATACCAAGTACCGAGGACACAGCTGTTTATGGAGACAGGGAGATGGCTGGCCTGTTACATTAGAAGGAGGAGGAAGTGAGAAACACGTAAATGAGCTCTGGGTGGCTCACGCCTGTCATCCCAGCTACTCAGGAGGCTGAGATCTGCGGATCACGGTTCAAAGGCAGCCCGGGCAGAAAATCTGTGAGACTCTTACCTCCAATGAACCACCAGAAAACCAGAAATGGCACTGTGGTTCAAGTGGTAGAGCGCTAGCTTTGAACTGAGGAGCTCAGGGACAGTGCCTAGGCCCAGAGTTCAAGCCCCACGACCGAACAAAGGAAACAGTCCTTGGGTGTGACAGATTACATGAGGGTGTTATGCATGCCTGGGGTAGAAAGACTGTGGGAAGGGGAGCTAGAAGTCCTGGGAGAGGCGCAGGGAAGCAGAGGGAAGAACGGGGCAGCCCGGTGGCTGTGCCGCCTGAAGATAGCACAGCAGGAGTGCGGGGAGCGGAGGTGCCCGGGCCCAGCTTCTCTGATAGACGGAAGCCGGGAGGCAACTAGCGTGGGTGTGCTACTCTGGAGGCGAGCATGAGGAGCTCAGGGGCTGTGTCCAGCTGGGTTTGGAGAGAAGGTCTCAAGAGGCTAGAAAAGGGAGAAGGTCCTGGGGATGGATGCCCAGGGAACGTCTCTGTGCTTCTGGGCGAGGGGGGCAGGCCTGGGGAGATGCAGGGTGGGCAGAGGGGCCGGGAGGGAAGCGGTGGAGGATGTGAAGACCAGGAGCGTCCAGCCAGGGTCGCAGGGAGCTGCCGGGCAGATCGGGGCACGTGCAGTAACGGTGGTGTGGGGGAGGAGGGCCGCGGGGCTGGAGCAGACACGGGGAGGGGAAGGAGGGCTGAGGCGGCCGTGGAGTTGGGTGGTGGGAGCGAGGTGCTGTCCCCCAATGGCTTCCTTCTCAGTCATCTGTGGAGAGGCCTTGCAGGGCAGCGGTGGTGGAGGAGGGCTGAGAAGGGCACCGGGCCATGAGGTGGTCGCTCATCCTGAGGTGACCCTCCTGGGAGCTGGCAGACTGGTGCTGTCCGCTGTGTGTGCTCCTGGCTCCCAGTGTGAGGCCCCGGGCCTGGTGGGGGTGGGGCCTCCCTCCCCCTCCCCCCCAGCTGCGGCAGGGAGACACAGTGCAGAGGAGAGAGGATCAGCTTGGAGGTTGGATGGGGGCCTAGAGACGAGGGAAGTCAGGCGGCATGAGGGCAGGCCGCGGGGAGGGGTGAGGCTGGGGGAGGAAGGGGCACAGAATGCGGCACCGCGGAGGACAGCAGGGAAGCGGCCGGGTGGAGTGGGCGAGGCTCCAGAGAGGGCAGGCGCGGCGGCGGCGCTCGGCCAGCTGTGGCTCTGGAAGCCGGCGCAGAGTAGACGGCAAGCGACACTTTATTGGAAGTGCTGGCTGTTCAAGCCACTGTGTCCCAAATGTGCTGCGGTTGGTGGACTCAAATGGACATAAAGACAGCTCCCAGGCAGGGCAGCAGTCGGGAGGCTTTGGAGGGCTTGCTCTGAGAACCCTCAGAGAGGGTTGCTCTGAGAGCTCCCGGGAGGAGCATTCTGGGGCTTTGCTGGAGGCTGAGGAGGTCCTGCTGCGTTTCCGGGTGACCATCAGCACCTCCCAGCCTGCCTCCAACCAGGTAGCAGAGCCAGACCCAGCAGGACCGCGTGGCGGGGAGGGCAGGCCCTGCCCCGTGTGGACTGGCGTTTCAGAGCAGTGAGAGCAAGTCTGAACACACCCCGGACACGGTCCCGATCAGGCCAAAGGAAGGTCGGATGCCCCGCAGATGTGGCTCCTGTGGAGGCCGCGATGGGAACCCCAGGTGAAGCTGGGAGTCAGCCAGGTGTTGGGGTCAGGAGCAGACACCGGAACCCAGTCCTTCTAGAGCCATTCAGGAGTTCCCAGTGCTTCTTTGGCTTGGCCCAGCACAATGCCAGGCATCCAGTGTGTGATGAGTTCCCAGGGATTTAGACACAAGCCTCCTCCTTCTAGCTTTGGACCCAGAATCCAGGGCCAATGCCCCAGATGTGGACATGGGCATGGGGAGCGTGTACAGGGGCTCAGCTATAAAGGGTGTTAAGATTTGGGCGAGGGTATGTGTGACACTTAGGAACATGGGCCTACTTGACTATTGCATGTGATAGGTATGAAGAATGCAAATGTGATGGAGCCATGGTGCATTATATGTGGAATACATGTATGTATATATATATTCCATACATCCATACATGTGCACATTCATTATCCCTAATGGTATAGAGGAATAAAAAAGTCTACTAGACTTGTACACATTCAATTATTATTTGCAAGGATATTCTAAACCCAGCCCAGGGAGACAGCGAGATCTAACCTTAAGGAAGGAAAAAGTCCTGAAGAGATGTTTATAACCAGGAACTGGCAGAGGGATGTCCTGTGTTTACTGCTGCAGCCATCGGTAACTGGCACCCTTAAGATAGTCGTGCACAAATGTCATTCTGTTAGAATGCAGACCTCCTCTTGTGCTGAGAGTGTAGGGAGGGGGTGCAGGAGTCGTCAGAACCACCCCTGGGGCTCTTGTCTCTGCACTGACACATGCTCCCAGCTCCTCACAATCAGGAATGAACTCCCTTACAAAAACAATCGCAGCCGGGCGCCGGGCGCTCACGCCTGTAATCCTAGCTCCTCAGGAGGCTCAGATCTGAGGATCGCAGTTCAAAGCCAGCCCTGGTAGGAAAGTCCAGTCAACCACCAGAAATCTGAAAGTGGTTCTGTGGCTCATGTGGTAGAGCACTCGCTGAAGAGCTGAGGGATAGCACTCAGGCCTACAGTTCAAGCCCCATCAGTGACAAATAAAACCCCAAATACCAAAGCCCAAAAAACAAACAGCACAAAAGGCAGCACTGATTCTTAGGAAGGTATTTTTTTGCCTTTAGCACCAACCTCCCTTCCTCTGCCAGGCATTACTAAATCGGCTTGCCAGCCAGCTGTCTGGTGCCGGGAGGAGGGGTCTGACAGGGGCTGTTGGGCGAACACTCCCTCTCAGGTCCTGCCTGCTACATTCTTTAGATCTCAGAGTCTGGCCAGTTCTGGATGGGTGCAGGTGTCTAAGAGACTTGTCCACACCTCGGGCAAGTTGTACCCATGTCAGGGCTGGCTGGACGGAGGCCACAGGCATCGGAAGCAGGGGCCACCGGAGGCATCTTGCTTTGTGGTTGTCTTGAAGTCGTGACAGTATTAAGGTGTCACGGACGGCCCTCCCCGCCAGATCTCTTAAGTGAAAAGCTTTGGTGGCGCTTGCTGTCTTTGATGTTGCTCTCCTATGTTTTATAATGTGACTTTTATTTTTTTATCTGGAGAAGGGAGCCACGGAGTATCAAGCTGAAGAGATACAGGAGGTGTTTATTCTCTTTTGATGTTTGTACTTGGCCATGTGTGATATTGGAATTGGGTCTCCGACTCAAGGCTGCTTGCCTCTGAGCTGATCAAACGTGGCGGCTTGTTTTATTTCTCCAGCGATGGGTCCTTTCTGGCCAAGTTACATGTCGGTGGTAGACATGAAGTGACTACCTTTGTAGTGACAGCAGGTGAACAGGTGGCTGCTGACGTTGTTTCTGCACCACGATTTGGCTAAATGTATGGGGTGGGATGGGGGCCAGCCTGGCACCGTGTAGGGAAGGACGCAAATGTCACTTGGTGTGTCATGACACGTTCCCCCTGGGCAATCCATGCTTCCCACTCACTAGCGTGAATGACAGCATCCTTGCCCGAGACGGTGGCTTTGTAGCGTCCCCACTGCAAGTGATTGTTAAGGCCTTTCTACTCACCTGTTAATATTGCTACCTACAGTCATTGAAGTCAACAAGAGGGACATAGTCTTCCTGATGGATGGCTCATCCAACTTGGGGCTGGCCAACTTCAATGCCATCCGAGACTTCATTGCCAGAGTCATCCAGAGGCTGGAGATCGGACAGGACCTTATCCAAGTGGCAGTGGCGCAGTACGCAGACACTGTCAAGCCCGAGTTTTATTTCAATAGCTATCCTGGCAAAAGAGAGATGATATCAGCTGTGCGGCGGATGAAGCCTCTGGAAGGCTCGGCCCTGTACACGGGCTCCGCTCTGGACTTCGTTCGTGACAAGCTGTTCACTAGCTCGGCTGGCTACCGGGCTGCGGAAGCGGTCCCCAAGCTCCTGGTGCTCATCACAGGTGGCAAGTCCCTAGATGAGATCAGCCAGCCTGCCCAGGAGCTGAAGAGGAACAGCATCATGGCCTTTGCCATTGGGAGCAAGGCGGCCGATCAGGCCGAGCTGGAAGAGATCGCTTTCGACTCCTCCCTGGTGTTCGTCCCCGCTGAGTTCCGTGCTGCCCCTTTGCAAAGCATGCTGCCCAGCCTGCTGGCGCCTCTCAGGACCCTTTCTGGAACCTCTGAAGGTATGGTGGCTGTAGCTCGGGCTGTTGGAGGGTGGCTGGCAGGTGGAACCTTCAAGAAGAAGCAGTGTGGAGCTGCTGATGACGAAAGCCACAGCAACACATAGGATTTATTTCATGTTTCCTTTCCCCTGGGTTGAGAATGTACAGCTCAAACATCATGCAGTAAACTAGTATGACGTAAGCTCTGGGGCCCCGAGGCCCCATGTCTGTGCCCCTCTGGCTGAGGGAGTCGTGTCTCTGTTCTTATTCCTGGTTGAGGCCCAGAATTCTGTCTTCTAGCAACCCCTGGCCACTGCATCTTCCTCCTCCCTGCCAGAGGAGACAGGGCTTCCAAAGAAGCCCAGCCTGACCACCCCTCCCCCTGGGATGCAGTGGCCTCAGATTTCAGCCTCTCAGATGAATGCAGTTCTGTCCCCAGTGAAGAGAAGATGAATATCACGGGCTTCTCACCTCACAACCCTTCCGCTGTAGACCTTTTAGTGCATGACCCCCGCTGCCCGGACACCTGCTCTGCCCAGACGCTGTGGCCTTAAAATCCGAAAAGCATGTGCACTCCCTCCCTCCCTCTCTCTCTACCACACCCCTAACCCACCCTTTTTATAACCGAAGTTCAGCTTGATAAACATAGAGAACAATTAATTTGCCTTAGAGTAAGGCCCCAAGGGAAAAATAAAGCGACGGGAATTTTTCGAAAGACATAAGTTAAACAGATGATTAACGGTCAGTCCACCGGGAGGACCTCTCCCTGGGTTATCCCAGCCCATCGGGAGGGCCTCTCCCTGGGTTATCCCAGCCCATCGGGAGGGCCTCTCCCTGGGTTATCCCAGCCCACCGGGAGGACCTCTCCCTGGGTTATCCCAGCCCATCGGGAGGGCCTCTCCCTGGGTTATCCCAGCCCACCGGGAGGACCTCTCCCTGGGTTATCCCAGTCCACCGGGAGGACCTCTCCCTGTGGTTATCCTAGTCCACCGGGAGGACCTCTCCCTGGGTTATCCCAGTCCACCGGGAGGACCTCTCCCTGTGGTTATCCCAGTCCACCGGGAGGACCTCTCCCTGGGTTATCCCAGCCCACCGGGAGGGCCTCTCCCTGGGTTATCCCAGTCCAAGGGTGCTCCAGTCCCTCGTGTACAGTGATGTGGGGTTCACATACAACCTGTGCCCACTCTCTGGTGTGCATCACTCATCATGTTGGAAGCCATGCGGACGCCATAGATGTGAACCCTCAGATCGGTGGGTCTGTCGGACTTTGAGAGTTACACTTTGTAGTATCTAGGTGTTTATCCTCGGCAGGTGCAGGGCATAGTTTCTTACCCACCAGCCCACCACCTCCCCTTGGAGGAACTGCCCTGGGTCCCTGGTTGGCTAATCAACCAGTGCTACGACCCCTAGGAGTCGGGGATGAGATGAGTGCAGGAGGGACAGGCGGGAGGCTCACGCGTCTCAGGCCCAAGAACGGCCTCTGCTGATTGGCTCTTAGTCTTAAGGATCACAGGTGTCCAGGTCAGGAGGGCAGAATGCTCCCTGGCTGGCATGGAAAGTTCTCCCCAACTGCACAGGCCTGGGAGCTCCAGAGGGCTAGCCCCGCCCAGGAGGTCTGTGTTGGGAAGCGTTAGAGAGGAACGGGGCCTGGCACCCTGGTAGCAGGCATTTTCAGGGCGGGATGTCCTCTTCCTGGGATGCTGACCTCTGCGTGTCGCACACATCCTCACTCTGCTCCATCTGTCTGTGAGCCACCTCGGTTGTGCACATGTGGATATTAATTCGATATGCCTCACCAACACCAGCCACCACAAGAGGAAAATATGCAGCCGCTGCCATATTTTACCAGGCGGCGTGCTCTGCCAGGCTGCCTGCCTGTGATCTGAGTGTCGGCATGCGTGTCCGCAGGGCGGGCACACATGGGCCCCTTCCGCTGTGTATGTCTCACCTTGTTCTCTGTGCTTCACCGCAGTTCACGTAAACAAAAGGGATATCATCTTCCTTTTGGATGGATCGGTCCACGTTGGCAAGACCAATTTCCCCTACGTGCGCGACTTTGTAATGAACCTAGTTAACAGCCTTGATGTTGGAAGTGACAATATCCGTGTGGGTCTAGTGCAATTTAGTGACACTCCGGTCACGGAGTTCTCTCTGGACACGTACCAGAGCAAGCCAGAGCTGCTGGCTCACTTGAGACGCTTTCAGCTCAGGGGGGGCTCGGGCCTGAACACGGGGGCGGCCCTGAGCTACGTCCAGGCCAACCACTTCACCGAGGCCGGCGGCAGCAGGATTCGGGAACACGTGCCGCAGCTGCTGCTCCTGCTCACGGCCGGGAGGTCTGAGGACTCCTATTTGCAAGCTGCCAATGCCCTGGCCCGTGCGGGCGTGCTGACCTTCTGTGTGGGGGCCAGCCAGGCCGACAGGGCAGAGCTTGAGCAGATGGCTTTTAACCCAAGCCTGGTGTACCTCATGGACGATTTCAGCTCCCTGCCGGCTCTGCCTCAGCAGCTGATTCAGCCCCTAACCACGTATGTTAGTGGAGGGGTGGAGGAAGTTCCACTCACCCAGCCAGGTAAACCTACCCCACCAGCTCGGGCCTGCCTCCCCGGTGCTACGGCCACAAGGGAAAACCCAGAGCCTGCGAGCCGTGGAGAGACAGCTGATCCCTCTGATCAAAATGTTCCCCATAGGGGCTCAAGATGCCGTCCTTGGCAAGCTTAGACTCCAAAGGGCATTTGTGAGTGGCAGTGAGGAGCCCATAGCGGAGGAGGCAGGGTCCGTGCTGCTGAATTCACAGCCCCTCCTCCACGCCCATCAACATTGTATGGAGTGAAAATCCAGGGGAGAAAAGAAGGGGTGGGGGTGAGAGTGGGGTGGGGAGAAAGAGAAACGGGGGTGGGAGAAGGGGGAAAGCAGGGATGGAGGGAGAAGGAAATGGGGGGAGAGATGGAGGAGGGAGAAAAGAGGAGGGGGAGGAGGTAGAAGAGGGGGATGAGATGGAGGAGGGAGAAAAGAAGGGAGGGTCAGGAGACCTGGGGGAGGGGAGCAGGGAGGAGCAAAAGGAGAGACCTTTTTTCCCCCATACACAGGCATGCCCGGGGATCATGAACAATTGGCATTGTTTTTCTTCACGAGGCAGCTTTTGCATCTAGACTCTGCTGTGTGTAAAAGCCGCTGTCCCTCTTCAGAATAGTAACGATGGGTTCCAAAGGAAGAGGGTCATCATTGTCCTTTTCTGTGGCACCTTGTGGAGGCCTGGGACCGGGGTCTGGCCCTTCAGCGGGCTGCTTCACCCACGGCTGAGCCCACGGGAAGCCTGATGGGAGCACGGCCAGCTGGAAATGCCATTGATGTGACATTTGCCATTTGCCCCCTGACGTGGCACTTGCGTGGCACGGTGCGCTACCCTCGGGCTGTCACTGTTCTCAGTGGCCCAGTGACAGCAGATCATCCCCAAGCGCTAGCAGTGCCCCGGCCTCCCAGCAGTGATGGGGATGGCCGTGGGTCGACACCCATGACCTCCACGGGACGCAGAGCTGATCGGGTGACAAGCCAGCGCTGCCTGGGTGGTTCCTCTGTGTCAGCCTCTGTCACGACAGATCCAGACAGTATTTGTTAGCCAGGGTCCAATAGGACCGATATATTTTCAATAGCGTTCTTACGGCCACGTGACCGTGTTGTCTGACCTCCCAGGGAGACTCTGCCTGGTGAGAAATGGGGTGTGGCTGGCTTTGCTGATTTAGAGCAGTTCCCACAGCCTAGGTTTTGCTTTGACGAGGGCACGCTAGGCAGGAGGGCTGGGCTGTCTCTTCTCCTGCTGGTGCAGTGATCCTCGGATGAACTCGGCCAAATGCTGGTGGTGCTGGGCTGCGTCTATGCGGCCGGTCGGCCAGGATCCCCTCCCTTACTGTGTCCCATCCACTTTCCTCGTAGAGAGCAAGCGAGACATCCTGTTCCTCTTTGACGGCTCAGCCAACGTCATGGGCCAGTTCCCCGCCCTCCGGGACTTTCTCTACAAGGTCATCGACGAGCTGGACGTGAAGCCGGATGGGACCCGGGTGGCCGTGGCGCAGTTCAGCGACGACGTCCGGGTGGAATCTCGCTTCAACCAGCACCTGAACAAGGCAGAGATCCTGAATCTCGTGAAGAAGATGAAGGTGAAGACGGGCAGGACCCTCAACCTGGGCTACGCCCTGGACTACGCGCAGAGGCACATCTTCGTGAAGTCCGCGGGCAGCCGCGTGGAGGACGGCGTGCTTCAGTTCCTGGTGCTCCTGGTGGCTGGGAGGTCGGCTGATGCTGTGGACGGGCCGGCCAGCAGCCTGCGGCAGAGCGGGGTGGTGCCCTTCATTTTCCAAGCCAAGAACGCGGACCCTGCGGAGCTGGAGCAGATCGTGCCGTCCCCCGCCTTCATCCTCACTGCGGAGTCGCTCCCCAAGATCGGTGACCTCCAGTCGCAGATCGTCAGCCTCTTGAAGTCAGTGAACAATGGAGCCCCAGCTCCAGGTATGGGGGCTGCGGTGCAGCCACATTCTCTCTACCTGCTTGGGCCCTGGCCCCTCAGATAGAGGACGCCTGGGGCTACCCCAGGGTGAGGGGAGAGGGAAAGATGGCAGGTGGTTTCTATGGGAACAAGAGAATGAGTTTTTCCCTCCTCAATTTGACTTTCTAGCTATTCTCTTAGGTAAAACGCACAAATCTTGGTGATTATTTTCAAGGGTGGCGGAAGATTTCATAATAAGATAGATTATGAAAACAACACTAGCTAACAAATCCCCTCTTTAAACATATGTTAGCCAGGCACTGGTGTCTCACGCCTGTAATCCTGGATACTCAGGAGGCTGAGATGTGAGGATTACAGTTCAAAGCCAGCCCAAGCAGGAAAGTCCATGAGACTATTATCTCAAATTATACACTGAAAAGCCAGTAGAATTGTGGCTGTGAGCTAGCCTGGAGCAAAGAAAATACAAGGATAGTGCCCAGGCCCTGAGTTCAAGCCCCAGGACCTGCACCAAAAAAGTATTTTATTTGGAGGATCTTAAAGAGGGGAGCAAATGTTCTCACCTCTTCGACCAGAAGATTCTCAGCTGCAGCCAGAAGGAGTTGGTAGTTATTTCAAAAGGCTTTGAAGAAAACACGTTCCCCTTTCTTTCTTCAGATTCCTCTAGCATAGTGACCTACTGACCTCCCCTAGAGGGCCACTAGGAGGGAAAAGGGCAGAGAAGAGAGAGTGGAGAGCATCCTTGCTAGTAACTGAGTCCCTTTGTAACAAAGCCCCGGCGTTGGACCGAGGCATGTGTGATTAGGTACAGGGCAGGGATGGGCCTAGCAGAGAGAATAGGAGGTAGAGTCAGGCCAGCAGCAGGACCCACAGATCCTGCTTGAACAAGGGCAACTAGAAGGCAGCCTCTGCCATGGTCCTGGCCCCTTAGCGAGTGACACGCCAGCTTCCCGGTTCTAACAAAAGTAGAGATTATTGGAAGGATGGCTGCTAAGGACCCCGATTCCAGGCCGCCACTGCCCCTGGTTGTGCTCAGGTTGGGCAAATCACTCTACCTCATTTATCTCGCTTCTTCTGTTTGCTTGTTTTTAATAAAATAAAGACCAAGAATGTGTTTTACTATGTGCATAAAAGGCCACATAGCATGGCTATATTGATAGCTAAAGTTGTTTTCGTCCTCCAGTTCTCCATAGCTTTGTTTTAAGGGAAATCAGTGCTGCGAATCCTTTACCACACTCACCGAAAGCTAAAGGCACAGGAGGAAGTAAAAAATAATCCCCACTATAAAGGCTGCACTAAAATTCTAGATGCTCATTTAGACCATGTAACACTGTGTGTTACAGCACTTTTTATTTGGTGATAAAGGTTCAGCAAAAAGAGTGGTTAATTTCACATCTACTTTTGGTGAAGAGCTGAGATTCTAGAGCTTCTCCACCGATTGCTGCATCCTGCTTGCAGCTGGTTGCTGGTTGGCACTCTGACCTCTGAACCCTCTGGCCCAGCCATCCCATGTTCCTCCCGGTCCTGCATGGTTCCTTGAGCTCACCTTTGGGAGCCAACAGTTGTGTGGCGAGGTTCTGAAGTGACCAGGCCTTGTGGATGGGAGCATCTGATTCCCATTTCTGCCGTAGCACATTGCCAGGCACAGAATGAATTTTCTCTTCACAGTTTGGGAGTTCAGGAGTTGGAACAAGTCTTGCCGGCTTCAAGTGAAGCTGCCATCAGGTCCGCGTGCTTTCTGGATGGAAGCCCTAGGAGACTTCAGCTTCCCCAGTGTCCAGAGGCTGCCTGCCCCTCCTGCCTCCTGGCTGCATCCTCCATCCTTGAAGCGGGCAGTGCGGCGCCTTCCTTTCTCTCTGACCTCTACTCCCACGTCTCTCTCTGGCTCTGACCCTCTTGACTCTTTCTTGTCAAGGCATCTGAAATTAATGTAGCCATGTTGGATGTGCCTGGATATTGGAGGACTAGCCCCCAAATCCTTTCGTGAATTCACTGGCAAAGTCCGGTTCACAAAGACTGGGAGGTGGGCCTGTGCAGGGGCCGCAGCATCGTGAAAATGCCCCTCTCAGAGACTCATGACGTGTCCTCCTCCAGTTTCAGGCGAGAAGGATGTGGTGTTTCTGATCGACGGCTCTGAGGGCGTCAGGAGCGGGTTTTCCCTGCTGAAGGACTTCATGCAGAGGGTGGTGGAGAGCCTGGATGTGGGTCCTGACCGTGTGCGTGTGGCCGTGGTGCAGTACAGCGACCGGACGAGGCCCGAGTTCTACTTGAATTCTCACATGGACCAACAGGGCGTCATCAACGCCATTCGCAGGCTGACCCTGCTGGGTGGGCCGACCCCCAACACAGGGGCGGCCCTAGACTTCGTCCTGAGGCACATCCTGACCAGCTCAACTGGAAGCAGGATGGCGGAGGGCGTCCCCCAGCTCCTGATCGTGCTCACGGCCGAGCGGTCTGGGGACGACGTGAGGGGCCCCTCGGTGGTCCTGAAGAAGGGCGGCGCGGTGCCCATCGGCATCGGCATCGGGAATGCCGACATCACCGAGATGCAGATGATCTCCTACATCCCGGACTTCGCGGTGGCCATCCCTACCTTCCGGGAGCTGGGCACAGTCCAGCAGGTCATCTCCGAGCGGGTGACCCAGCTCAGCCGTGAGGAGCTGAAGCTGTTGCAGCCTGTTTTCCTGCCCCCGTCCGGCCCAGGTGAGAGGGTGCGGGACTCATGGGGTCCTTCTTCCTTATAACGGGCTACTCACTTTGTACCGTGGCTTTCAAAGTGTGTTCAGCTTTGCCTCCTCTGCCATCTAGCACCAGAGCTAGGGTTACTGGGTTACTTTTTTAGAGGTTGCTAGGATTCATTGTTTTGGCCAAATTAAAGCCTCCTGGAGGGCATAGACTTGTCCTAGACTCAAATTCCTCAAAGCCTCGGGGTAGGACGCGGAGAGGAGGGCGGGCCTGGCTGCATCTGCGCCTGGTCCGCTGGAAGCTCCACCGTCAGGAGAGAGCTCGGCTAGGGAGGAGGCTCTGGAAGTGGGAAGATCACTTTTGAGTTTGCTTGAGGCTGAGAAGTATCTCCGCTGGCAGTGTCTCCACACTCAGTAGAGGCCTGCCCAGGGCCTGTGTTCTGATTTTTTGTGCTGGTCTTGGGCTTGAACTCAGGACCTGGTCACTGTGTGTCGTTCTAAGGATACAGCTGTGCTGCATAACGCCTTCCATCTTGTCTGTTACAATGCAGACCAGCGAAAGTTGAGACCACATTTTAGAGAGGATAAGGGAGTTTATTACTGGCAACCCAAACCAGGATAGTGCCAGAAAGAAATTCCAATCCCAAGGGAAGGAAAATCCTGAATTTTATATAAACTGGTTACACACAAAACAGGCATTAATCAGGCATACAAAAAATCAGGCAGGCTGGCATCCACGTCTGACCAGGTGGGCAATTCCAAATCATGACATCCTCTTGCTACCCCTTCTGCATTGTTACTAAAGAAAATGCCTGTGGGCTTCCTGCTATGGATTCTGACAACCTTGCCCTGTCTGTCCCCCAACCCATGTTCCAGCAACAGCCCCACTGGGCCACTTTCTATCGGCTGCACGGGGGCCCCATTCTGGAAGCTGGATGCTGTGAAGTCCTCACGGGGAGGGGTAACTCTGTCTACTTCACGTCTTCTCTGAACCCAGCCTAATCTGTCCCCATCCTTGTCCTTGCTCAGAATGTACTTCTGCCCAGTGGCTGACTCTTAGGTGCCATCTTCTGGGTCTACAAGCAGCATCTACCTTGATCAATAGGCAGCATCTGGGTCAGTGGTTGTCTCTTCTGCCTTGTGTCCCCCTCAGATGTTGGGGATGCAGCTCTAGCTTCTGCCTCCCTTCCAGCCACTCTTCCTCGATCCTTTGCTGAGCCTCCTCTTCCTCCCACCTGTAGACGTTGAGGTGTGCAGGACCCACTCCTTCACTGAGACCTTCACTCCAGCAGTTGCTGGAGGTCCTGTGATCTGTCCAGTGGTGTTTCCAGGACCAGTTAGAAGGTAGTCCATAGCACGTGCAGTTTTGTGCCAATGAAGTTGAAAGCCACGATCCTGTTTGCTTCACAGATGTTGGTAGCAAGAAAGACGTGGTCTTCCTCATTGATGGGTCTCAAAACGCCAGCCCCGAGTTCCAGTACATCCGCACGCTGATTGAGAGGATGGTCAACTACCTGGACGTGGGCTTTGACACCACCCGCGTGGCAGTGATCCAGTTCAGCGAGGATCCCAAGGTGGAGTTTCCGCTGAACGCACACTCCAGCAAGGACGAAGTGCAGAACGCCGTGCGCAGGCTGAGGCCCAAGGGCGGGCAGCAGGCGAACATCGGCGGTGCCCTGGAGTACGTGCTGAAGAACATCTTCAAGAGGCCCCTGGGCAGCCGGATCGAGGAGGGCGTCCCGCAGTTCCTGGTGCTCATCTCCTCCAGGAAGTCTGACGATGAAGTGGACGATGCGGCTGTGGAGCTCAAGCAGTTCGGGGTGGCCCCTTTCACCATAGCCAGGCACTCTGACCAGGAGGAGCTGGTGAAGATCTCCCTGAGCCCCGAGTACGTGTTCTCGGTCAGCACCTTCCGGGAGCTGCCCACCCTGGAGCAGAAACTGCTGACGCCCATCACCACCCTGACGGCCGAGCAGATCCAGCAGATCCTGTCCCGAACTCGCTTCCCTCCCCCAGGTGAGGCCTGTGGGTGGGGGTGGGGGGGAGGGGGGAGGTGGCTCTGCTCCCTAACTTGGTATAAAAATAATGGGCTCAGGGGTCACACCACTCATGGTAAGTGAATTTACAAGGAAGGCAGTGCCCCTTCCTTTTTACCCAATCTGTGGCCACCAGCCAGAGACCACCAGGACACACCTGTGGCTGAGCAGAGTGGAGGCTCTCAGTGACAGGTGTGAGTGTGCGTCTGGCTGTCCAGTGGAAGGCTCTGGCCTGGACTGGGGGTGGGAGGCGGAGCTAATTCTGCAGTCTGCCACACTCAGCCGTCCCCAAGCAGGGAGGCCTCGGTGGAGCAGCCATGGCTCCTATTTGGGGTTTGGGACATGATGGTTTGGCCAGTGCCCTCCTCTGGGTGGCTCAGCTCTGGTCCCAGCTCTGGCCCCAGCTCTTGCTGCCAGGTTGCTGTCATACACAGTGGTTGGTGAGTGCTGATGGTCTGTGGATGGCTTGAGCTCAGCAGAGCACCCAAGGCTGTGTGTTCTGGGCCTGCTTCTAGTGAGAGGGTGCTTTCCCTTCCATCAGTGAATGGCCCGCTGGATGACCAGCCTGACGGCCACTGTGCTGTTTTCCATTGCATATGGGTGAATGGTATTGATCGGCAATGCTATTCAGTGTTATTTGAGAAACATCTAGAATTCTAAGTAATGGGAAAATGTGGATCATCTTCTCAAAGACACTTTGATAAACGTTGTTGGATAATTTGATTTCATTTTTTCATAACTTCAAAAGGTTGGTCGTACAAAGGGGGTTGCCATTTAATGTGTCATTTTGATGAATTTACACACCTTGAGCACCCCTCATGCAAGACGTTTGGTTCAGAAGTGGTTTGGATTTGGGATTTACTGAGATTTTGGAATATTAATGTGTGCATGATGAGATACCTCGAGGCTGTAACCCAAGTCTGGACACGAATTCCGTTGTGTTTCTCCTACACTTGGTACGCACAGCCTGAAGGTGATGTCGTGTGATTGAAGTAAAAACATGGAATTTTCACTTGTGGGAGCCCTCTGTGCTTTGGGACTATGGAAGATTTTGGATTCTGGGATTTTGAATCAGAGATGCCTGACCCGTGGTTTAAAAAAAAAAAAGAGGAACTCGTGAGTAGAAATAGGGGAGATAATAGTTATAAAGCCAAATCTGGGACTAAGTGCCCGAGATTTTTGGTTGAGGAGAAACCCGAGGCAGCCAGGAGTTGGGGCGTGCCAGGGTTATACACGGCATATAGCATTGCCAAGTGGAGATGGGGCGTGGCGAGGCTGGGAGACCCACAGGACCCTCAGGACTGACCGTGAGACTCCTGCGGGAGGGGTGAGGATACGTCACAGCTGTCTCTGTCTCTCCCTTCACAGCAAAGACACTGGCCTCACCGATTGCAAGCCTTTCAGTGGCTACAGTGTATGACTGCAGCTCGCAGAGCAGGATTCGTGTCTAAATGCTACGGACCTTTTAAGTAGCAATAGTAACCCAGACTATGAAGCTCAACTTAAAGCTAGCTGAGAAAGAAAATGGTTTAGAGAATTTAAAGTAGCCCATGAAGTAGAAATTCTTTTTGGTGATAAACAGTCCTCTTGGTTTTGTTTTTGTTTGTTTTGTTTTGGTGCCAGTTGTGGGGCTTGAACTCTGGGTCTCCTACTCTTGCTTGGCTCTTTTGTTCAAGGCTGGAGGGCTACCACATGAGTGGTGCCTCCACGACTTTTTAACCAGTTTGTGCTGGTTAATTGGAGACAAGAGTCTCATAGACTTCTCTTTCCAGGCTGGCTTTGAACCATGATCCTCAGATCTCAGCCTCCTGAGTAGTTAGGATGACGGACGTGGGTCCCCAGTGCCCAGCTCAGCATCTGGTACTTAATGACTAATTTCCAAAAGCCTGAATGAGAATCGCAGGCACATGGGGACATCATATTAACCATGGCACAACATAAGGCAAACTTGAGAAAGTACAGTGGGAAGTAGAGAGTTTACTGAGCCTTCCTCCTTTGTGTATCTGCAGCAGTGGAGAGTGACGCGGCTGACATCGTGTTCCTCATCGACAGCTCTGACAGCGTGAGACCCGACGGCATCGCTCACATTCGAGACTTCGTTAGCAGGATTGTCCGAAGACTTAACATTGGCCCCAATAAAGTGAGGATCGGGGTCGTGCAGTTCAGCAACGACGTCTTCCCAGAATTTTACCTGAAGACCTATAAATCCCAGGCCACCGTGCTCGATGCCATCCGGCGCCTGCGGTTCAAAGGGGGTTCTCCACTGAACACCGGGAAAGCCCTGGAGTTTGTGGCAAGGAACCTGTTTGTGAAGTCGGCTGGGAGCCGGATAGAAGACGGGGTCCCCCAACACCTGGTCCTGTTTCTGGGAGGGAAATCCCAGGATGATGTTTCCAGGTTCTCCCAGATCATCAGCTCCTCAGGGATTGCGAGTTTAGGAATCGGAGACCGGAACACTGACAGAACAGAACTGCAGACCATCACCAACGACCCCCGGCTGGTCTTCACGGTGCGGGAGTTCCGAGAGCTCCCCAACATAGAAGAGAGGGTGGTGAGCTCGTTCGGACCCTCTGGAGCCACGCCTGCACCTCCAGGGGTAGGCCCACCCTCTCCTTCAAGACCAGGTAAACATCTTTAAAATAATAGTAATAATAACAACAATAACAACAGCAGTAATAATAAAAGACCAAGTATGAGCTCTGTGACCCAGAACTACACAGTGGAAGATCAAGATTTTTAGAATGAAAAAAAGCAACAACTTTTCAGAAACACTATTCTCAGGGTTGTTTCTACAGCTGATATTTGAAGTGAAATACTGGAAGATTAGTTCAGTTGAAACAGAAGAGGGCAGTATATCCCCCAAAGGACCATGGCCCTTGGTGTCCATCCCTTCTGAGGTTACCTGTAGCGGGAAGGCTCTATACGGGGATCAAGGGTACTGTGTTCCTTGACTCTCAGGATCAGATGGTTTCTGTGGAGTCAGCCAGTCAGTTGCCTACCGAGCACGGCTCTGATGTCAGTCCATTACCAGTGGCAGGATTCACCCTGACCCCAGGCCCAGTCCAGGCTGACCTCCTTCCTGAGTTAATCTGACCACCAGGGCCACGCACCTACAAGCTTCTTGCCCACGCTCCCCTCCCCTGTGAGCAGCCACGTGTGGGCTGGACCCCTCCGCCACACGCGTTTCCTTGCCTTTCTTCTGGGTGCAGAGAAGCATGTGAGCACTCTTGGCTTTCTTAGAGGTTCTGCATTCCTGTTTTGCTCCATCATTGGCTGCTTTGCCTGGGTTGCCTCTAGCACACGCCATATCTCTCACACTGTCTCCAATTTCCCCTTTCTGTTCAGTTTCCTCTAGTTTTCAAAACCCAGAATTGGCCCTCACATGCTGCGGATTTTCTGCTTCTAAGAAGCACTGACGCAGCCCTCTATATGTCTAGAGGGTTTAGCTCTCATTCTCCAGTCGGCCTCTCTTAGCACTTCCTTGCTCTGTCCCTCAGACATCCCATCCCACTCCTATAGATACTACATTTTGCTATTGATCAGGAAGAAATAGTTTAAATTGTTTTTTATCTGTTGTGGAGCTTGAACTCTGGTCCTGGGTGCTGTCCAGGAGCAATTCAGCTCAAGGCGAGCACTTTACTACGCCGAGCCACAGAACCACTTCCAGTTTTCTGGTGGTTCCTTGGAGATAAGAGTCTCATGGATTTTCCTGCCTGGGCTGACTTTGAACTGTGATCCTCAGATCTCAGCCTCCTGAGTAGCTAGGATTACAGGAATGAACCAATGGTGCTTGGTTATATTGTTTTTTTTTTTTTAGCTTGCAGACCATCAAACCCAGGTATCCACTGAATTCCTGGCATAATGCAAGGTTGTGTGGGACAACTGAGATTTGGCATCACTGAGTTCTCTTGTCTTCTTTCCTTTCACCTTCATGTTCTTGACATAATGTTTTGGGGCTGGGTGATTGACTAGAACAAGGGTTTCAACTATCAGTCAATTATTAGCAAGGTCTCGTATCTGTTATTTTGATTTGTATTTTGTGTTTTTCTGTTCTGGACATGAGACCCAACTTGTCCTCACGTTCATTGTGATCTCTTGTAGAGAAGAAGCAAGCAGACATTGTGTTCTTGTTGGATGGATCCATCAATTTCAGGAGGGACAGCTTCCAGGAAGTGCTCCGTTTTGTAGCTGAAATTGTGGACACGGTTTATGAAGAGGGTGACTCCATCCAAGTAGGATTGGTCCAGTACAATTCTGACCCCACGGATGAATTCTTCTTGAAAGATTTTTCCACCAAGAGACAGATTATCGACGCCATCAACAAAGTGGTCTACAAAGGGGGGAGACATGCCAACACCAGGGTGGGCATCGAACACCTGCGGCTCAATCACTTTGTGCCGGAGGCCGGCAGCCGCCTGGACCAGAGAGTCCCTCAGATCGCCTTCGTGATCACCGGAGGGAAGTCGGTGGAGGACGCTCAGGACGTGAGCCTGGCGCTCACCCAGAAAGGGGTCAAGGTGTTTGCAGTGGGTGTGAGGAACATTGACTCAGAGGAGGTGGGAAAGATAGCTTCCAACAGTGCCACGGCCTTCCGAGTGGGCAACGTCCAGGAGCTGTCGGAGCTGAGTGAGCAGGTCTTGGAAACGCTGCACGACGCCATGCACGAAACCTTATGTCCCGGTGTGACCGATGTTTCCAAAGGTAATCCCCTCTGGGGTTATAGACCCCTGGGTGTATGTTTTCAGACTTTTCCTGTGGAGAATAGAGATGGATTTTAGTGCTGGCTTAGGGATTCTTCAAGCATTTGGCTACTTCAGATACCAACTTACACACACACACACACACACACACACACACACACACACACACACACATGGGTTGGGTCAGATGACCACTGTTGGAGAATGTTCTTCCAAGATAAGAATAGTTGACTACCTTTTTGCCCTTATAAGCTCAAGCTATTTTCTCTTATTAGGTGGTTCCTTAAATAATTCAAATTCATTCATTCTCCTGTTCACTTTTACATTTGTTGGTTCAAAACTTTGAGGTCAGAGCTTTCAAACACCTGTTGTATGTTATTACATCAAAATCGATGAACACTTCCAAAAAGAGAAATCATACATTAAAGTGGTTTGCCACTGTGGATCCTCACATCCTTCATCTGTCCCTCCCTGTGAGAGAAGGCAGTCTAATTGCTTCTCAGAGCTCATACATGAAAGAGCTCTTCTTTTTCTGTTTTGTTTTGTTTTGTTGTCCAAGAGTGGGGACTTGAACTCAGTGTCTGGCACTTTCACTCACTGACTGGTGCTCTAGCACCTGGGCCAGGCCTCCAGCCCCAAGCTCTTCTTGCTTTCACAATGTGATAACTTATATCCAGGGCAGTGCCTGTCACTCTTAAAATAGAATTCTTCCCGTCAGCTTCATCTTGGTGCTCATGGTCTACATTTCTCCTCTCCAGCTTGTAATGTGGAAGTGATTCTAGGGTTTGATGGATCCAGAGGTCAGAATGTGTTTATGGCCCAGAGGGGCCTTGAGTCCAAGGTGGATGACATCTTGAATAGAATCAGTCAGATGCAAAGAATCAGCTGCAGTGGCAGCCAGCTGCCCGTCGTGCGGGTGTCAGTGGTGGCCAACACGCCAACGGGGCCCGTGGAGGCCTTTGACTTTGCCGAGTACCAGCCAGAGCTGTTTGAGAAGGTCCGCGGCATGCGCAACCAGCAGACATACGTCCTCACGGCTGACACGCTGAAGCTCTACCAGAACAAGTTCCGACAGTCCTCGCCCGACAGCGTGAAGGTAAGCAGCCCGGGGTCTGTCCAGAGAGCCCCAAGTCATTCCTATACACACTGTGTACGTGGGGTCTGTCCAGGAACCAGAGTCATTCCTACACACACTGTGTACATGGGTTTGTACAGGGAGCCCCAAGTCATTCACACTGTGCACCTGGTATCTGCCTAGGGAGCCCCGAGTCATTCTTATACACACTGTGTATGTGGTGTCTGTCAGGGAGCCCCGAGTCATTCCTATACACACTGTGTATGTGGTGTCTGTCAGGGAGCCCCGAGTCATTCCTATATATACTGTGTACAAGGGGTCTGTCCAGGGAAGCCTTGAGTCATTCTTACACACACTATGTGCATGGTGTCTGCCAGGGAGCCCTGAGTCATAAGCACACATAAGATTGGGCTGTTACTGTCCATGCTGAGCAGTTCCTCATTTATGAACCCATGGTAACTTCATGTTCTGTCTTCCTCATCTTGCCAGTCTTGTATAAGAAACCTAGGGAGCCAGTAACTAAGCTTGAGCTGAGTTTATGACAATCTCTAATTAGTTTTGTTTCTACCCATTCAATATGGTCTGTTGTTGCCTCTATTTCTTTGTTTCTCTGTTTATGCACCACACACACACACACACACACACACACACACGCACACACACGCACACACACACACAAGGTTCCCATTCACACAGTGAACTAGGTTGTTAAGGCTGTTCTTAAATTATACCACAGCTATTGTGGCTTAAACCACAATAAACTTGGGTTGCAAGTTTGACACTAAGATGCTGTCAGAACTGGTTTCCTTGGAAGCCTGTGTCTTTCCTCCCGGTGGCCTAAGGTGCTCTTGTCACAAGGACACCAGAAGCTCTGGGTTGAGGGCCACTCCATGCCCCATCTCTAACGTACTGGGGTCATGCCTTCACTGTTTAGATTTTGCAGGATCCAGTTCAGCTCAGGACAGACGCACATTTCATGCACACAACCTGCAAAAAGAATGCCTCTGTTTCTTATTCTCAGAGTTGTTTGCACTTTTTGAAAATAAATCCAATGGTCAAGCACACCCCTTTATTTTACACTTCGTTGCACAATATTCTTCATCTTGGCCTTTTATTTCTGCAACAGCAACACGAAGGACTGGACCCAGCCATAGCCTCTCAGCTGCTCTTGATGCTCTGTGGCGTTTCTTTTCAGTCTAGCCGGGGTCTTGACTCATCTTTGGCTTGCAGGTGGTGATTCATTTTTCTGATGGAGTGGACGGAGACCTGGCTGACTTACACAGAGCTTCTGAGGAGCTCAGACAAGAAGGTAGATTCTGGGGCTTCCTAAATATGAGGAGCAAGGTCAGGCCACATGGGGCCTACCATTCTGCTAAGAAGAAGCTCTGTGGTAGCAGAGTCCTCAGAAGCCGGGGAGGGGGTCCTGCTGGAGGGTTCTTCCTTCATTGTCTACTGAGGACTGGAGGATGAGGCTAACGATACTTCCTCCTTCTGACCATGGGCAGCTTTAATTCCAAGTCCTCGCACAGGAGTGCAGGTGTGAACACCTATGCAGATGGCAGACCATCTCACACGTATGGTTCTTTTTGCAAAAGAATGGATGTATCGGTTCATTTAAGTCCATCACGCACACCAGGAATTAATGTACAAACAAAAGAGATTGCTGCATGGTCAGTGGCCATTATCACATATCAAACAATAATAATCTAAAATAATATAAATAATCTAAAATCTATAATCTAAAATAGATGCATAATGTGAGCACACTTGCCAAATGTCCCACGGTTGGGTAAGCAGCATGCAGCTATGCATCTGTGCTTTGGGAGTTTTTAATCCTTTTTGAAAACATGGCTGCCAAAGAGCAAACATTTAAGAGGGAGTCTATGGAAGCAAACTATGTTAAGAATGTTCTACCTATAGCTTATTTTTTCTAGCAATGTCAGGAAACTGCTGTTCTCTGGTTTGGGATGGGAGAGTGTTCCGGTTCTTCCATAGCACACTGTTGTGTGGGGCCAGGGTTTACACATGTATGTGATATGCTGTCTGACTGTTACTTCCCATGCTGGTAGTAAGGCCATTACATACCCTGAGGAGGCCTTTGGTCTCACCTGCTCAGAGCACCAGATGTGTTTGGCGTAAAGCTACATTTATACTGACGTGGTTCTTTAAAGTAAAAAAGAAATCCATGGAGGGTCAGGGATATAACACTATGGTGAGCACACAGAGTTCTGGGTTTGACCCCCAGCACCAACACGCAATGAAACCAAACCAAACCAAAGTCAGGAGAAAACTGGTGTCTGGCCCTGGGCAACGCTCTGGAATGGGTCTTTCCTTGTAGGTGTCCGGACCCTGATCCTGGTGGGCCTGGAACGGGTCGCCCACATGGACCAGCTGTCCCAGCTGGAGTTTGGACGGGGCTTCATGTACAACCGGCCCCTGAGCCTCAACTTGCTTGACTTGGACTATGAACTTGCAGAACAGCTGGTGAGCTTTTGTTTTTAATAAGGCTTTTTATACACTATCTAGTCTAGATACTATAATTTTTGGAATCAGGACTATGAAGCCAGTTATGGCCTGGTGAATGGGGGAGGGGTAGATGGTGGTGATGGACTGGGGAGGGGCACAGTCAATGAAAGTGTGGGATGGTGAACCGGAGAGGGGCTGGAAGTGAGTGGGGGAGAGGTTGGGGTGAATGGGGGAGGGTGGGTGGTGGATAATTCACTTCACTCAGACCCTTCCTACTGCCCTGTCATGCAGCTGGAATCGTGGTGGGCTGGCACATGGGTGTGCAGGTTTGCTGGCATGCTAGAACTTCCTCTGCTCCCACGAGGCACAGCTAAATTCTTTTGGTGTCATTTAACTCCTGGGATTTCTGAGAGTACAGAACATCAAGACTGACCACCTGCTGTCGGGAAGGAGACAGGAGAGCGTGTCCACAGGAGGGCCCACAGATGAAGTGACACATGGGCCCAAGGCTGCTGCAGGCGGAGCTCTGCCTTTATGGCCTTTTCCTGTGGGCTCCTTCCTGGCGAGAGGAGTCCTGGGAGGAGGCGCTCTGTGCCTCACCCCGCTCAGCCCCTCTCCGCGGGAGGAGCTTACACAGAGCAGGGTGGTGGAGCGGGGCTGGAGGGCCTCAGCTGTTCTTGGGTTGCGGCATCCGTGGGTGATAGCGAGGTGAATGGGATGGCCTTCCTCTGCCCTTCCCCTGCCCCCCGCCTTCTTCCATGGCTGGCATTCGAAGGTGGGAGCACTGAGGTCAGTTTCAGGGGGGCAGTTTCAGAGCACTAAGAAGCTCATTGCACAGACACACCTGTGACTGCCGTTACTGATCAGATGGAGACGTGCTTGGGGTGTGCACTTTGCCTATGAGGTCAGGGGCTGGAGTAGGGAAGGAGTGTTGGGGGTGTCTGGTGGTGTTAGAGGTCAAGCCTGGAGTGACCCGTGTCACTTGTCTGGGGGCTGGAGGCCTCACTCTGCCTCTGGAAGCTCAGGGCTCCCTCCAGGATGGTGGCTGATGTCTTTTTCTGGACTCTGATACAGCTCTGGGGACGGAGTGCCACAGCGCTCCTATCTGAAGCCCTAGCCCTATATTTGTAGGCATTGTATTTATAGTTGAATAGAACAGCCTTAACATTTCCAACTTCAATGCCAGGGTTAGAAAGTTCTAGAAACAAAGCCGGGTCTAAGAGGACATTTACCATGCTTGGTTGCTCTTCTATCAGTGATGACTCCTGCCTGCCCAGCTCTGCAGAGCCAGCGATCTGCGTGGTTTCATCTTCCACTGAAATTTGTGCAATAAGCTGTGACCATTAGTAACACGTTGCTATGTGTTGGCCAAGTCTTTAGTGAGATCTAAATCTGATTTTCCATTTGGTAGGACAACATCGCTGAGAAAGCGTGCTGTGGGGTTCCCTGCAAATGCTCTGGAGAGAGGGGAGACCGCGGACCCATTGGCAGCATCGGGCCGAAGGTAGGGTGGCTTCAACCCCGCTTCTTAGCACCTATGGCTGGACTTCAATGTTATACTAGCTGATGACTTCTCAAATGGCCAGCATGGAGGAGAGGAAGGAGGCCTGTCCCCAGGCTGTGGACAACGGGTCCAAGGCACAGTGACAGCCGGCTTCTCCTCTCCTGTGGGAGGAGGGAATTTGTTCTCTAACTCACAGGTTCTGCATGTCCAAAGGCAGTGTTAAAACCAGTGGGTGCACAGTAGCACCAGTAGGCTAGTCAGCCTTACCAAGTGACCCTCTGTCAGTGGGAAACCAACTGGCTTTCTTGGTAAAGTAAGAACCTCAAAGAACAAGAGTAATACCATTGAAATAGTAAGAGGAAGAAGCGATGTTCAGCTCCAAGCATGCCCAGAGCCACACTAAAGCGTAGTGCTGCTCACCAAAGTCACGTGCAGGTATGGCCGATGACACTCTGCATGGAGCCATGCTGGCCCGGGGTCTAACCAGAAACCCTTGTCCTTTGTTTCAGGGCATTGCGGGAGAAGATGGCTACCGAGGTTATCCTGGAGACGAGGGTGGCCCTGTGAGTGGACGTTGCTTCGTTCCTTTGTTCTCACCTCCTACTGTCCCCCACATTTGGGATTCTGTTATGGGGTTCATTCCCTAGGCAGTTGCTGGTGATGGCTTTCTCATTAGGAGAACATTTATTTTCCAGCTTCCCTAACAACTATGCTTGGATTTCTCCACTAGAGAAAACAGCACCGTGCTCTGCATATACGCACGCACCTATGAGGTAGAGGGGTTGTGTGTGGTCCAGTTCAGAGGGAGGGACTAAGTGAGAGAACACGGAACATGGCATCTGCGGTGTCTACTAGAGAAAGATGTGCAGGCAGAGGTGGGCATCGGGAAGGTGGGGAGTAGGGACAGAGCAGGGCTGTGGGTCACCCTGCAGGGCTCTCCCAGCCACCCATGTCCAGGGCCCAGTGGGGGAGGGGAAGAGCAGGGCCTGGGGTGATAGGGCCGAGGTCTGAGAGGGAGAGAGAGAAAGATGCGGGTTTGAGAGCTTTGAGCAAGTTCTAGCTGTGAACACATGATACCAGGAGTCCTGGGGGCAGGTGGAGATGTCTTCAGGCCCCAGGCTAGGTTCTGGGCATCAGGGCTGAGCCTTGGCCCTGCAGAACAGCTGGGAACCATTCACAAGAGGAGGGGTCAGGCCGAAGGAGCCTTCTTGCAGTGGGGGCCCAGTGCCCACATGCTGGCACCCAGTGCCCCCCGTGCTTGTCCTGCTGGGCAGCTTCAGTGCTCCTCAGGCCTGGCACGGGGTGTGGAGGCTCCTGTGTGCTCAGGACGGTCACATTGAACTCCAGTCTTCCTTCAACGTCATTCTCCAGCAGGCAGACTCTGCAGAGACACAGGACGAGGAGCCGGGTTTGTCAAATGCCTTTGTTTCCCCAACAGGGTGAGCGAGGTCCGCCTGGTGTGAACGGCACTCAAGGTTTCCAGGGCTGCCCGGGCCAGAGAGGAGTCAAGGTGCTGTGTGGGACTGGGAGGTCTGACTAGTGTGTGTGTGTGTGTGTGTGTGTGTGTGTGTGTCACACACACAGCTTCTCCAAGGGCCCAGGAGCAGGGCCACCAGCCCAGCTTCTCTGTCCAGCAGCCAGAGCCTCTTATCAGGTGGGGGCTCCACTCCAAGTCATATGACAGGGCCTAGCCACAGCTGGAAGGCAGCCTGGGAGTGGAGACATAGTTTCCTATGGAAAGGCAGAGCAGCCAGGAGACAGTCAGGAGGGTGCTGCAGGGAGCCTGGGCCAAGTGGTCTGGGGCCTGTGCCCCGGGGATGGGGGTGGGGGGGCCAGAATGGGCAGCACAAGGCTTCCAGGCTGCCAAACTGCCAAATTGCACTCTTCTTGCTGGTGTTTTGGAGCGGGTGCTGAGGGATGAAGCATCAAGACACAAAGCTGGGGCTGGGAAGGTGGCTCAGTGTCATAGAGCGCTTGCCTTGCATGCATGAGGCCCTGGGTTCGATTCCTCAGCACCACATAAGCAAAAAGAAAAAAGCCAGAAGTGGTGCTATGGCTCAAGTGGTAGAGCACTAGCCTTGAGCTGAAGAGCTGAGGGACAGTGCCCAGGCCCAGAGTTCAGGCCCCACGACCGCCTCACCCTCCAAAAAAAAGACACAAAGTTAACAAAGCTGGCCTTTGCCTTCGGAGCTTCTTTCCTGGCTTTTGGAGTTACCCCTTCTGCCCAGGGAGCCAGGAATCGATTGATAGTTGAGATCCAGGCAGACTAACTTTGTAACACCCCATGGATGGCAGCACCGATGGATTCCCTGTGCAGAGGGGATCTCTAATAGTGAGGTTTCTGGGCTCTGGGATGTGTTAATAGTGAGCTTTCCAGGCTCTGGGGTGCATTAATAGTGAAGTTTCTAGGCTCTGAGGTGTATTAACCGTGAGGTTTCTGGGCTCTGTGGTGTATTAATAGTGAGGTTTCCGGGCTCTGGGTGTATTAATAGTGAGCTTTCCAGGCTCTGGGGTGTATTAACAGTGAGGTTTCTGGGATCTGCGGTGTATTAATAGTGAGGTTTCCGGGCTCTGGGTGTGTTCATATGTGGGTGGGGGGCATCCCTTAGGCTCTTCTTCCCCAAGGAACCAGCCATGTGGGAATAACTGGTGTCACCCTGTCCCTTTACCTTCCAGGGCTCTCGAGGATTCCCAGGAGAAAAGGTATCCATGTTTATTTGCCATTTATTGAAAATGTTTCCAGTATTTCTTATGTCCCCCTTTGCCAGTGTAGTTTCTGGCACTCACATGTCTGCCTTGTTCTTCAGGGTGAATTGGGAGAGATCGGGCTGGACGGTCTCGACGGTGAGGAGGTGGGTGATATTACCTTCTAAGTCCAGAGATCCCCACAGCTGTGGCAGTGAACAAATGGTCTATTTGTGCAGCTGTGCCAGGCACGAGTGTTTCTCGCTGTTTTTGCAGGGAGACAAAGGCTTGCCGGGTTCTTCTGGAGAGAAAGGGAGCCTGGGAAGGCGGGTAAGTGCTTCCATGGTGCTGTCTCTCCCTGGACAGGCATCGTCTGTTCTCTGTGTGGCGGCAGCCTTCTCCAACCCCTGCAGGTGTGCCGGGGGTCCCCTGCATCTATCTGCTCTGGCACACCCTGCTCCCGAGGGCAGGGACTAGGTTGGTTTTGTTATAAACACATCTCCATACAATGTGTCCCCAATTCATACTTGTGGATTAACTGAAGAAATACGATCTATTTGGAAGTGATTTTTACCTTTATGCAAAACAAATAAATGCCCCACACTCTTATGTCCAGAGTTTACAAAATGAAGAAGGTGATTTTTCAGGGCAAGATAACCAAGTTGATGACCAAGTCCAGTCCTTCTGTGTCACATGAGCAGAACTGCGTAATAAAGTGGTGTTGTGATCTGATTTCAGTAAGCGGGTGCATTTCAGGGACTGCTCGGCCACAGGAGCGGAGCAACCATTTCGTTAAATGTCTGTATTTCTTAGTGACAGGTTGTGAACCTGAACTAGCCACAATAACACTGGTCAACAAACCTGGAAACACCTAATTTTTCAATTTTCTGGTTGTGTATCTTGTGTAGGGTGATAAAGGACCAAAGGGAGACAAGGGAGAGAGAGGAGATGTTGGAATTCGGGGTGATCCGGTAAGGACAGTTTGCTTATGGGTTTCTTCAACACATGCCTGGGGAACAGAACTGTGGGATAAGATGCAAAGAAGAATCTTTCTTTTGGCATAGCTTTGGGATGTATTGATAAGCTGTGTGCTTTCCCTTTTCCTACACTCTTGGGCTACAAAGCTAACTTTTGGCAAACTGTATTTAGGAACCTCTTTGGTTCCTCAAAGGCTCTCTTGGCACTCTGTAAATTTGCTGTTAGAGAAGAAAACCATTTGCAGCACTCTTCATTTTGTAGCTCTGTAAACCACTGAAAGAAAATGACCAGGGCTGCTTTGGCCTCTCCCCCAGGCCTTCTCCCTCTAGGGCTGAGGATGGCACCAGCGAGCCTGGGTGTCTGCCCCTAGCCCCAACAAGGGGCCAGAGAGGTTTGCAGAGCCCATGTTCAGGCTCTGTCAACATCGGCTGGATGTTATCTGGCGGGGTGTGTGTGGGGGGCCGGCTTAAGGGAGCACCTGTCAGACCTCGCATTCGTAATGTCACTGATAGGTTTTGGAGAAGCCAACCCAGCAATGGTGACTATCCTTGCCTGGGTGGCTCAGTTCGCATCCCTTGTTCCTCTCAGGGTGATTCTGGACGCGACAGCCAGCAGAAAGGACCCAAAGGAGAGACGGGTGACATCGGCCCCATGGTACAGTGCACCCCATTCAGACATTCTCCTTGTGCTCAGGGACAAAGACATAGCGGGCACATTGACTCCCCAGTCCAGGCTGTGGACACGGCCTTTGAGTACCACAGAGTCGCTGAGTGGAGCAGAGTCCCCATGAGGCTGTTGCATGTGTGCTGGGAAAGGAGGCCTGCCCTAACCAAGGGAGGCTGCGGATGGGCAGACGTGCCGCTCAGATACCAGGGCAAGTGCTGGCTAAGCCACCTGATGTGCAGGGAGCACTAAGTCTGCTCCGCTCACAGAGCGCCCTGTGACTCCCCGTCCTTTTCAGATGACCCCTCCCCTGGGAACTGATGGACCCCTTTACCTGCAGTGCTTTGGGCAACATTCCACAGACACACATTTTCTCTCTCATGCCGTTTTTCCTCACACCAGGGTCTTCCAGGAAGGGACGGTGTAGCTGGAAGCCCAGGAGAACCTGGCAAGAATGTGAGTACCTGAGGGCTCCCGGAAGGCAGTGTGGGGGTGCTTAACAAGAGCCAGCCTCCCTGCCAGGTCTTTCCTGGTACAGCCTCACCAGCTCTAAAGGGGAATCTAAAGGGATTTATGAACCCGGGTCTTGCACTGTGCTAACAGAACATGAGAGGCTTGGTAATTAGAAAGGAGCAGAGGTCTTCGGCACCCCTGCGGGTGATGGGGGTCTGGACCACTGGATCTTGTGCACGCTGAGCCACACCCAGCCTGTCTACATTCCAGCCTATCTAGTTGGGCCACTGCTCCGGAGGCTGTGAGGTCTGAGGCCCCGGTTCCAGTCTCCAGCAAGGGTCTTCGTGCTGCATTATCCCATGGTGGAAGGGAGAAGGGCAAGCTTTGGATTGCTACCCCAATACTGCTGTTTACAGAAAACGTTAATTCTTAGGATTTACTCCTAGTTTTTCTTCTCTTCCCCCTCAAGCTTGTGTCTTTTCCCTCCCCGCCACAAACCATACACCCAGACACAGGTCTTTGAGGCCTTTCAGTTATCTGGCTGGTTCTTATCTCATGAGGTAGTTTAAGAATCCAGGTGGAAGAGAGTGTTTTGTGGGCCACTGTCATTCACACGGAGGTGGCTGCGGCTGTTTGAGAGCATTGCTTTCTGCAGCTGCGTCTGGGAGGTTGGGAATGTCTTTGCAGGCTTATTTCATACCTTGTCTTGCACTTGTGGTGAAGAAATGCAGAAGTCCAGGTGACATAAATCATCCCCATGAAAACCTTTGAAAGCTTCCAGGACCCAGATGTGCAGAGAGCCAGGTCCCTGTGGCTGGGGGGAGAGGGGCCCTGTACGGGGAGATCCAGGAAGGTTGTGACCCTCAGGAGAAGTTGAGCACGCTGATAGGGGCCTAGGACAAGTCTCTGTTCAGAAAGAAACAGCACAGAGCTGGGCAGCTGAGAAGATTCCCTCCATCTCTCTGATCCTCTGTGGCATGTTTGGGCCACAGCAGCTGAGTGGCCATGGTGCGGGGCTCCCGAGAGGGACTAGTACCTCCCCTGTAATCACTTACCACAGGGTTCATTATACTTCTAAACCCATTAACCGGCAAAAGTCAGAAACCCTATCTTAAAAAGTTGAGGACTCTGGATGAATCCTGCTAAGATGTACAAAGGGAGAGCATGAGGACACCCTCATCAATGGTTGCAGTGGGTGATTACAACTCACAAGTTGGTTTCAAGGAATGATTGAAAGCATTGCAGTATATAGGATTGGCTTTAAAATCGCAGGCCAGGTAGGGCCTTGAGCTTGAGTTCTGTTGCAGACAAGGGCTCTGGGGGTCTGGCTAGGGGGCTCATTGAAGCAGTACATTTGTTATCAGGGTGAGGGCTGGCTGAGAGGCCTTTTGTCCCTTCCCTGGGATGGAGATGCACCCCCTTCCCCGCAACCAATGGTTTACATCAGTCTTCAAGCCACCATGCTGGGGCCTCCTCAGTACCACTGGTCAATGAGCCCTTGGGTAGCAGTGGACTCTGATTGAATTAGAGACTGCCTCCTCTGGGAGGGACCAGGTGGAACCAGTACTCTGTACAGGTGGAGAGTAACCAAACCCCTGAGCTTACCCATGGAAGGAGTCTGAGTTCTTTCTAGTGCGGCTGGCGCTCCAGCGAATGACGGCAGAGGTCAAATGCCAGGGCTGGTCCACCGGGAATGGAAAATGTGGTTCCTGGGTTGATCAGTGGAGGAACAAGCCTAAAACGGAGTTGGCACAGGTCAGGCTCTGGAGTGCCAGCCTCTGATGGTGTAAAAACCACCCAGAACATCCCAGGTTCCCACACCACGCTTCACCTCCGAGGAACGAAGAGGCTGCTTACAAAGCGAGCTCTCCTGTTTGCAGGAAGGGCCACCTGCGGAGCTCTGGGAAGACACAGCCCAGGTTTTAGGCTCATGTGTGTGCATTTGGGATGCTTTGCTTGACTGAGCGGGAGTTGTACTTGGACAGGGCCATCTGGCGAACTTGGGACTCAGCTCCACCATAATGAACGTGTTCCATGGTGGCTCAGTGCAGTTGGGAAGGTGGCCGCCAGGCTCATTTCACAGCCCTCGTTTGAAATTGGCTGGGCCCGTGTAGCCAGAGGGAGACATTGTTTTGCTTGGCCTGTCTGAAGTAATTCTCACAACATTCACTGGAGACTTAGCAGGAGCCGCATGGGAGAAAAATGCCTCTGAGATGGGAGAGGAAGGAGGGAAGCTACCAGGGCCTGGGTTCTGGCCTTAGACACAGAGGTGGAGACCAGCAACGGATGGATGTTAAGGCGTAGAGACCCCATGCCAGCACCCCTGCCTGCTCCTGACAGCTTGTGTGACTTCTCCCACAGGGAGGCTTTGGCCGAAGGGGACCCGTGGGAGCTAAGGTGAGTCTCAGGATTGGTGTCCCTGTTCTTCAGCCCTACTGTCACTCACCCAGACTCTAAGGAGACTGAAGGAACACAGCTAGCCCGGGATTGAGACCTTCCACAGGCTGCCGTGGCCTCGGATGAAAGGGCCTGTGCCTTCTAGCTCACCATTGCCTCTACCTCAGCCCCTTCTATAAGGTCTTTGAAATGACCAGGCCTAAGGGGTTGGTGACCGGCAGGGAAGATGGCCGAGCAGGTGAATCCCAGGCTTTCTTGTATGGTGTGCCCAGGCAGGCTTCGGTCTAAAGTATCTTCCCTCCACAAAGCCGTTGTGAAGATCATGGGAGGAGAGGGAAAGGAATAATTGCCAGCACAGCGCTAGCTGCTCTACTCGGGTCTCACGCTGGGGTTACAGTGTTTGTCACCTGTGACCCCAGGGGAGCTGTGTTCCCCCGGATGTGTCCCTGGTCCAGAGCTGACTGTAGATCTGAGGGCTGCTGTTCTATCTTCTCTTGTCTCATAGGGAAACCGAGGAGGTCCGGGCCAGCCAGGATTCGAAGGAGAGCAGGGGACCAGAGGAGCCCAGGTCAGTCCGTAGTGACTGTGTGCCTTGTGATATTTCCCCATGTGCCACGGTATTGTCATTTAAATTGAGATGCTTCTCACACAACGCAAAATTAGCTCTTTCAAAGCGAATGACCGGGAGTCCTGGGAATACATCATCATGTTGTGCAATATTGTGAGATATTTTTATTAACCTCCAAGGAGGCTGTGTCCAGAGCCTCTCCTCAACCCTCCACCCTGGACGCTGGGCACCACTATTAGATCTTCCTTTGTTGCGCATGGAACGTAGCCTTGGAATCATTTCACAGGTGGCTTGTTTTGTGTTTGGCTTTTCTTGTTGAATTATCTTGTGCTTCAGCCACGCTGTGGTATTTATTAGAATTCCATTGCTTTCAATGGCTGGGCAAGATTCCATTGTGAGGATATAGTGCAGATGATGATTCGTCCATTGCTGGGCCTTTGGGTTCCCCTGCTTTGGCTACCAAGAATGGGTTTCATTTGTGGAATCCTCATGGAGAGCAAACTCAACAGCTCTTGCCTAATGATGACCTTTTACCTTGCAGGGCCCGCCTGGTCCCATTGGTCCTCCAGGCCTGATGGGGGAGCAAGGCATACCTGGATCTCGGGTAAGTCTGTCTCTCTCTGACCCAGTGTGAGCTAAACATAGTGCCGCAGGGCCAAAGGGGCTGAGACTCCAGGGTTGGTGTGGTATAGACAGGCCTGCCCCTCAGACCCTGGCTGGAGTCAAACTGGGTCCTCACAGTGATTGGCTACAAAACCCCAAGGAAAGGAGAGACCCTACTTCTTGGTGCTCTGGAGTCCCAATGACACTCCTTCCAGATGGCGCCTTTCCAAACCCACCCAGGGTGCTAAAACAAGGGGACCATGTGAGGAGCCCTAGGATGGGACTGTATCAAACCCAGGCTGCCGAAATGTGTAGGCTGTGTGAAGTATTTTTGTGTTGGCCCCTAGAGATCGTCCCTTCTGCTAGAGATTGCCATTACTTTTCTTAAGAAGTCCCTCATCCTCAAATTCAACACAGAGGGTGGACCTTAAGAGTGCTAGGATTTACCTCAGACTTCAGCATGCTGATGTGTCAGCTATTGGCTGTGAGGGACAGAAATACCCTTCTACTGATGGCCTGGGATGAAGGAGGCCGGGCTCTGTCTATCCTGGGGTGTATAGGCTGTACCCCATCTTATGAGTTACTCTCATTTATTGATTATTCATCGACTCAGCAAGTTTTTAGCTATCTGCCTACCTCAGCGGCTCTGTGTAGGGAGTAGAAGGGTAGAGGAAACCAAGTCATGAGGCCAGGGGCTGGAAGTCTGGCTGGGTCCTGACAGGCACACACCACACAGACAATGGCAGCGTGCATTCCTGTGTAAAACTTAGCCCTGAGACGTCACACCAGTATTGCAGATCTGCACAAGTCCCTTCCGGAGTTCTTTGTATTTGTGGTAGCACTGAGTGTGAGCTCACATCTTGGGGCTGTGGGAAGGACAGGCTGCCAGCCCTGAGGGCCGAGGTGTCACCCAGGGTCCTTCATCTTGGGGCTGTGGGAAGGACAGGCTGCCAGCCCTGAGGGCCGAGGTGTCACCCAGGGTCCTTCGGCAGGGACCGCTGGCTACTTCATGCCACCCTCTCTTGTGCTGCAGGGAGGTGGAGGCACCGCTGGGGCTCCCGGAGAGCGTGGCAGAACCGGTCCTCTGGGAAGAAAGGTTTGTCTGGAGGAAGAAAAAGCTTTGCCTGTTTACGTGCATCCCTAATACCTCATCTTGTCAAATTGGCTTCCCCACCCCCTTGCTGGTCCCACTCCACTCTCCCCATGGATCCATTCCACCAGCAGTGTCACCGTCCCAGCTCCTGTCCCTGCTTGTGAGACTGGCTTCCTCCTGCTCAACCCCCTCCGCCCTACTGGGTAAATCTACCCAGTGGTAGATTCTGTGGCTTTGGAGTCACAGAAGGGATGAGTGTGAAGCGTCCTGGGTTCTTTCCAGGAGTCACCATGGGAATGTTACAACTAAACAAACACATGCATGTGTCATTTTTAAATCAGCACAGAATAACTGTATATATTTATGGAGTAGAGTGTGACAATGGGATGCATGTATATAATGTAGTATGATAAAATCAGGGCAATCAGTGTTATTGTGTTTGGGGAACGCTTCATCTAGTTATTTTTGGATATATGGTGGATCGCTGTAAACTACAACCCCTCCGTCCCGGCTCACGGTGCTGTAGAACATGCACTTGTTTCCCTTCCTAACCAGGTGTTGGTAGCCATTGTGTGGTTACCTCTATTCCCTGCCTTCCCACTCTCTGCTTACCAACCTCCCTTCTGCTCTCTGTGAGATCCATGTTTCTTAGCTTCCACATATGAGTGAGAACACAAGCTATTTGTCTCTCTGTACATGGTCTTTTGCGATTTACAAAACCCTATCATCCAGACCCTGAAGGTGAAGAGTGTGCTTTGCAGCCACCCCCTCCCCTGCCAGGGACTGTTACTGTGTAGATGAATCTACCCCAGAATGGCTCACTGGGTCCACCCTCTGCTCACAGTGCCTTCCCCTTGCTTCTTTCCTCTGTCCAGGGTGAGCCTGGAGAGCCAGGACCCAAGGGAGGCATCGGGAGCCGCGGTCCTCGGGGGGAGACGGTAAGGCCACGGTGGCCCTGCTCGCAGGTGAAGCCAGATGTGGTCCAAGAGGGAGATGTTTGGGTGTTGCTCCTTTCATTACTGGGTTTCCTCTGAAGACAGCAAGCGCTGCTGCTTATACATAGCCAGTTGTCTTCAAAGTGAGCTTTAGCTCACTGGTGGGAGAGTGGTAAGGAACATGTTCTCTTGGCAAGTGAATGTGGTGATTTGCTGGGCCGCAAAGCACCTCCATTTTCAGCCCTGTGCATGTGACTCCAGGAGAAGCAAATGTCTCTGGGCTGCAGTGGAACTGGGTTTAATAAAGCCTCAATCAAAATGGAAATGAATTCTCTTGAATGAGGCATCTAGGAGCAGAATTCATTACCTCAATAGTTTATTTTTGGAAATTGTTATTGAACATACCCCAACAACTCACCGATAATATGCTAGTCATCTGCATTTTCACATAGGAAAAGCAATCTATACTCCATATAGAAGTGTTCTAAAAGAAGTCACTTTATCTGAAATCTTCATCTGATTCTTTTGGGATATTCAGTGGTGATAGTAATATCCAATGGATAATTTCATTAGAGTGGGCCCGGGCATCTGAGCATGCAAAGCAGGACATCGAGAGGACCCCTGTCTGGACAGGATATCCTATCGGGGATGTCAGGGGACTTGGGGGAGAAGAGAGGACCCCCACACAGGAGCCTTGGGTTCTCTTTTGAAACAGACATGCGGGCTGTGAGCACAGAGTTGAGGTGAGCTCCAAGCTTCCTTTCAGCTCTGAGATCCCCGTCTTGATGAGCTTCTGATTCTCCACCCATCAGAACCTCTTCGTTTGTTAGAATACTGTAGTTCATCCAGGGCAATTCACAGTTCTTTGTGGGCCTGCACCAGGGAGCTGCTAACGTGCCCTTTGCACTGACCACTGGCAGACCTGGCCTTGCTTCGTCCCCTGGAGGATGGAGTACAGTGGGAAGATGCCTGCCCTCCTCCCTTGCACCTTCAGCTGGAAACATTCCAGAGACTCGGCAGCCCTGTGTGCAGGGCAAGGCGTGACCTGGCGGGTGTAGGGTCACCTGGCAGCCACCTACAGCAATAGTTTCTTTCCTTCTCTTAGGGAGATGATGGGCGAGATGGAGTTGGTGGTGAAGGACGCAGAGGCAAAAAAGTATGTACCTGCTGGAGCTCCTGAAGAGCCTTTCTTGCTGGAAAGTGTCAAGGACAGATTCATATTCAGTCCAAGTTTTAGAGGAATAGTTTGTTACCCTTTGTTGTACTTCAGTGGTAGCTTATGCTTTAAGGAGTCTACAGACTTAGTTTTCCTTTTGAGATAAAGTTTATTTGAGATGATTTTAAGTGGGGACAAGATCTTGAGTCATTCGTTTGTCTTCTCAGGGAGAACGAGGTTTCCCCGGGTACCCAGGACCAAAGGTAAGTATTTCCAGGGGCTGGAGCTTCCCTGCTGTTTGTGGGGGGTGGGGGCATCTGCTGTGTCCAGGAGTTGAAATCTTGGCTTTAGTCTTGGGTCAGCCCTCACTGCCCGGGCCATCCTGGACCAGGCTAGTCCCCTCCAAGATGCTTGCTCTTCTGGCAGATGGCAGTGACAATATGTATGACAATGTGTGGGGCAGGTGTAAGCGGAGTTGGGCTGTGATAAAAGAACCCTGGGATCTATGCACTGCTTTAGCTTATGTGGCATGGTCATTAGTGTTGAAATAAATCGGGCTGTCTGCAAGGGCCAGGACCACATTAGAAACTTCCGGAGAAGCAATTCAGTGAGCCATTCAGCCGCCCTAGAAAATATGAGGCAGGTGCCCACTGGGGCCTGGACAGGGACCCCCAGCTGAAAGTTCTCTAGATCTTGAAGTGCTCCTTTGTGGCTCTCTTTCCAGGGTACCCCTGGGGAGCCCGGGACAGATGGAGCACCAGGACCCAAAGGTGTCAGAGGCCGGAGGGTAAGTTGGTTGAGAAGGCAAGTGGTGGCAGGTGGACTGTGGAGGCCTTCAACCCCCCCTTTATGTTTGGCTGGCCAGGCATAGCGTGGGGTTGGAGAACCCCGGGTTGACATACTCCCAATCGATGTGGCTGTGGTCCGTGGGAGCCCCTTCCTCCACACGCTGCAAGCTTCCCTGGCCCTGAGCTCACCTCCAGCATGGTGTAAGAAAGCCTCAACTCTCAGGCTGGGGCACTGGCAGGCTGCACGGTCCCATTTGGCCACAGGGACCCACGCTGCAAGGCAGCAGCATTTGGCGAGGTAAACAGACCGCTTCTGAGTGCACCGGGTTCACAGGTGGCCTGATTGGCAACGTCGGCTACCACACTGGGTTCACAGGAGAGCCAGGTTGGGAGGGTGGACGGCATGGTCCTAGGCTCACACTGACCTGGCCAGGACCATGGTCTCCACATGGTCTCCATATGGTCTCCATGGTCTTGGGGAAATCACTTCTTTTTGGCTGTGTTGGTTCTGGGTTTCTCTCTTCAATGGATGGCCCTCACTCTCCTGAGAATATACTGAAACTTGAATGAATTGGGAAATGGTGGCTCAGGTATAAGTTGCTAATCATTATGTTAGCCTGAAACACAGTTGATCATGGTAACTGCTTGTGCTGTTGACTTGGTCAGTGAAGACAGTCCAATCGGGTCTTTTATTACTCAAGGGAGAGTTCTGAAACATTGGACTAACCTTTTACACAGACCCAAGATCTAACTCAGTGGTACTGATCAATTCTCTTGGGTGCTGGGAGATAATCTCATCTTGGTTCAGGGGCAAGCGTGTGTCAGACCTTACCCTGCCCGATTCCACAGTCCAGGGGGCTCCTGGCAGCTTTGCTAAGGTCATTTGTCCCTGCGCTTGAGTTCTGGTGATAGCCAAGCATGCTCCATGTATGGGTTTCTCCTGATGAGGAGGACGTGGGTCACCGCCTCTATCATCCTTCCCGCTGCATCTTCTGCACAACTGAGTGATGCTCCCTCTGCCTCCTCTAGGGAAACTCAGGCCCTCCGGGGGCAGTCGGGCAGAAGGGAGACCCTGGTTTCCCAGGACCATCTGTAAGTACCCGCCCAGCTCTATTCAGGCCACGAGGGGAGAGGGGCGTGTGGCTGTTTCCCACTTGATCCTGAAAACTTCCTTTCATCTTTCCTCACAGAGAAGGCTTCCTGCTTCTGTGTTGTCTTATTATTTGTTTGTAAGCCCTTTCCCTTCTGACACCCTTCTAGAAAAGTTATTTCTCTGAGATTTAGAGTAATAAGACATTTTTTAAAAGTCTTCTAGGGATAGAAGGGTGTAGCTCAGTGGTGCAGCATGCATGGGACACACACGAGGCCTTGGGTTTGATCCTTAGCATCTTAAACAAACAAAAAACAACACTGTGCTTCATGTGGTACTCAGTAGCCTAGAGAATCTTGTAATTTCCTACCTATGGGTTTGTGTAGAGAAACCACAGTGGTAAATACCAGAACCTCTTGCTTGCATCCTGTGGGAGGTATGTAGCTCTGCCAGGCCTGTGTTTAGGGAATGCTTTCTTGGGCCTGTGAACTCTTTGAGAGCTATTGAGTCAGGGTCACGATTCCCCTGCCCCCCCAAATCTGAGAGGAACCCTAATCACTAATATTTTTTGTTTCTTATATGACTTCATCCCTATGATCACAGTGATGGATTTTAAAAAATGGGCATCATAACTCAGGAGCCAGACAATCCCTCAGAGGGAAAGGCTGAGGGGCTGGTTTGGTTGAACTAGGGAGAAGGTTGAGCCTGGTGGTTCTGATTTCTGCTCTCTGGATGTGACACACTTAATGGGGTACACTAAGCCACTTACGGCAGACAGCAGGGCAGGAGAAATAGCTGCAGGGAAAGATGGCCAAATGGATGATCACTCGACTGTCAGACAGGGGACCTAGATGGGGCTCTGAGGGCAGCCATCCACAGAGCCGGAGAAGCAGGCCTCCAGGGAGATGAAATACATTTACCTTTACCGAGCTAGGACGGCTTGGCCATTCCTTACCTTGGTTTCTGTGGGGACAAGATGTATGAAGCACACACATGAGAGGAAGTGCTTCTCTCCAGAGAAGTGATGTCCTGACTCGAGCTCAGCTACATGACCTCCATTGGGTGACGAGCCTCTGGGCTGTGGGTGTGGCGCTACGTCACAGCTAGGCTGCCTCCCAGGGGAGGCACTGTGTTTGCAAAGTTGTCTCTCCGTCTCTCTGTTTCTCTCTGTCTGTGTGTCTTTCACACAATCTCTCTCTCTCTCTCAATCTTCAAGTGTTTGAGTCAAATTTAATTTAGAGGGAGAAACTATACATGGTCAAGGTTATTCAAAAGCCACCGTGACTTCCTGTCACGTTCCTGTGGCCAAAGATTCCACCACTGTTTCTTTTTATTGTGTGTTTTTGTACACATCAGTGGGTTTCACTGTGGTATTTCCACACACACATGTGTAAATCACGCAGAGCTGGTCTCCCCCTCCTTTCTCTGTCCCCCTCCTCCCCTCCCTCCTCCCCCTCCCCCCTCCTCCCCA